ATATAGGGATGGCCGGTTAGCTCACTTGGGAGAGCGTGGTGCTGACAACACCAAGTCAAGTGTTAAGATCCCCTTACCGGTCATCTTTTAGAAAACAAACAAACAAACAAACAAAAAAACATGACTTTATAGGTCTTAAAAGCTCATGCCCCCTCTCCCTAATTGTAATTAGGAACAAAATACTACTAACACTCTCACACACTAACACAAGTTCTATAGTTAGATTTCCATCATGGTATTTTAACTTGTGGCTGTTAACCTTAGTGAGTTACTGGTCCTTTCTGTGTTATTTTATTTTCCGCATCTATAAAATGAGGATAATAGTATTACTTTCTCCACAGGATGATTACTAAATGAGAGAGTACACAGGAGCTGCTTCCCAGTTGCCTGACACCCAGTGGGTGGCAGATGTCTGTTATTTTGTTCACACCATTGCCTCAGCTTAGAGTGTCCTCAACTCCTTTGTCCTCTGAATGCTACTCATCCAAGGACATCCAGTCCAGTGCCGGAAGACCTCCCCTCCCACCCAAGTCAAATTCCATCTCTTTTAAATGCCCAGAATTCCTGTTTCCTGCACCATTTATGAAGCATTGCTACAGATGTATTTATTCATTCATCCAGCAAATCATGTACCAGTACTAGGAACATAGAAGTGGATAAAGCAAACATAGTCACTGCCTTCATTGAGCCTGAAGCCTGGCGAGAAAGACATTAAACAAATGAGCAAGCACTTGATTATTTAATACAGCTCTGCTACGTGCTATCAGGAAAAGGTGTGGGATGCCTTGAGAACATGCCACAGAGGAAATTCACCTAGAATGCAGACTCAAGAAAGATTTCTTTGAGAAAGTGGCATTCAAAATGAGACCTGAAGGATACACTGCTTTCTATTGTCATCATCAATAACAAATATTTATTGAGGATCTATAACCTAGGTGAGGTATCAGTGCATATGTCCCTAAAGAAAAAAGTGCAACAGGGAGGTATCCATGCCAAATGAAAAGAATGTACAATATTACGCACATGTTTGGAGGAGAGGTACCCCAAGGGCTAGGGCTCTTTAGAGAAACATTTTACATAAAATGTGGGATATGAGCAGAAACTTAAAGGAGGAGTAGAACTATGATGTGGGGGCGGGGGGGAAGAGGCTTTCTTGATAACAGTATATGGGCAGATACAGGAAAAGGGCAAGGCAGATTCAGACAGGTTAATTGAACCAAGGAGTGTCATAGGAAAGGAGCTAAAGATAAAGGATCAGATCATGGAAGGGCTTCTTTTTGTATCATGGGCTTCCTTGAGACTCTCATGAAAGCCTTGGACTCCTCCTCCTTCTCAAAAAAAAAGTGCATTTATAAAGCTGCATACATTTCAGTAGTTCACAATCCCCTGAACTCCCAATTAGAAAGCCCTGCTATAAGCAATTAGCACTAAGAGGATTTGGGCAGACAAGTGACGTGTTCCAAAGTATTTAGAAGGATTCATCTGCCAGAGAGAATAATAACTGTTGGCACTGAGGTTAATTGAGAAACTATTGCAATATAATGCAAGCAGGAGCTCAGATAGCCTCAGGCTAAGGTGGTGGCTCAAGGAATTCATTTATTAATTAAACTAACATTTATTGAGAGCTTACTCTAAGACAGGCCCTGTGTCCTAGAGTATTGGGGGCATGATAATGAATAAGACAAGACCACTGCCCTCAAAGAGCTCCAAGCTAGGCAGAATCAGAAAGAAAGATAAGCAACTACAGATACAGAGATCAGACAAGTGGCAACTTCCCTTACTCAGGACTTTCCACTGTCTGTTCCTCAGAAAATAGTCTTCAGTATCATACTCAAGGCCCTTCAGAAAACAGCAATAACTCACCTTTCTGCTGTCATTTCCACTTAGGCCCCCACCACAATCACTCTCTCTCTCTCTCTCTCTCTCTCTCTCTCACACACACACACACACACACACACACCCAGGAGGGCAACTGCACTGGACTCTTGATTGTCTTTTCATCGTGCTATGCATTTCCCTGCCCCTGTTCTGCCATTATTTTTATCCCATCCACTGTACCTGATCAAATTTCTACCCATTCTGCAAGGCCCAGTTGAGGTGCTGCCTTCCTTGAAGCTTTGTCTGAGTCTCCCTGTTCACTCTGCCCTGAGTTACTGTGTGCGCCTTAGCCTCTCGCTGTACTAAGTAAGCTTGAGAAGTCAGAGATGTTGTCTTTTCATCCTCTATCTATACCATGAGATACCAGATCCTGTGATGGTAATTGTTCACTAAATCTACTGAACTGAAAGGCTGGAGCCTGGGGACAGGAGCCACAGAGCCAGGGTAGGTTTGGGAGCCATCAGTGAAGCCTGGGCAGCTGGAATCAGGAAAGGCAGCCTAGACACTCACATCGCCACGGAAACATTCACTCTTGGAGAACAGGATGGAGGCCATCCCAAGTACACATCATAGGATGGGCAAATAACGGGCTTTAAAATATAGGACATTCACATCCAGGCAACTTAAGTCGTTAGGAATTTGGCCTATTTATAATGATAGCAGGGCCAACAGGTGGAAAGTGGGACCCCCAATTTCTGGTTCTGGGCACAAACTTCCCCATTTCTACTGGATTATTATTATTGTTATTAAATTATTAACGAAAGAGCTTATTTGCAAAGGTTAAATGGTTATAAAGCCTAAATCATTCTTGGAGGTATTGTAGGTTCTGGGATAACTCTTGCTTTTAATTCTTTAACAACTGAGGGTAGAACTGCAGTGTACTATTATCCCACCTTTGTTTACACTATCAAAATACCCCCGGCGTTGCCAAGGACGACTGAATTCTTTGGCTTGGCTGCAGCCGCCACACGACGGGCCACATTTCCTCCTCTGGGGTACAAGGGTATGTGGGTGCCTTCCAAGCTCAGCTGTGGAATGCAGAAGTCATCCCTGACTGCGGTGCGCTAGGGAGAGGGCAAGTTCCTTAACTGTCCGAACCCACCCACCAGGCTGGTGCCAAGTCCCAGCAAGTACTGCATCCCCGCAACTTTGATGATGAAGAGGCGGGGGCCGGGACCCCCTAGCCCAGTGTCTCTGCCTAGACGCACACTTCCCGCCTCCTCGCGGGTCCCACCCCTCGCAGGTGTCAGGAGCTCGCTCCCCGTCGTCCCCCCGCCCGGCCCCGCCCCGCCCGCCCCTGACCGAGGAGCCGCACGTCTGATTGGCCGAGAGCAGCGGGGCGGGGCCGGGCGCCCAGGGAGGCCCCGAGCTGAGGCGCCGGCGGGGCAGGCTGGTCTCAGCAGGAGTGGTGGGTGCCGCGTGCGCCCGACGACCGGCTCTGACCGCTTGGGCCGGCTTAGAATGAGGACGCGCGGGGCGGCCCCTCGCCGCGCGGCGGGGCTCCTCATGCTGCTCCTCCGGTGCTTCGGGCTTGCGGAGCCCTCTGTCCGCGCAGGTAACCGCGGGCGCGTCCGGCCGCCTGCCCGCTGGGGGCCTCGACGCCGCAGGTCTACCGACCTTCCTCCGCCCGGGTCAGGGCTGCGCTCCCGGGTCAGAGCACGGCTACGTTGCTCGGAGGGGTCTGGAGCCGGACGAGTGAGCCAGGGGAGGTCTGGCGGAGAAGGCGCTCCATGCCCTCGGGGGCCCGGGAAGAGGGCGCGGTGGGGCGTGGGAGGGCAGGGCCTGGCGGGTGCGGAGCAGACACCGGAGGGGAAGCGCCCCCAGTCTTTCCTGGGCGGGGCCCCCGCCCCTTCCTCGTCGTCTGTCCTCTGAAATGTTGCTTCCCTGGAGTAGGGTCTCCCTAGCTCCCCCAGGTCCTGTCCCTCCCGTTCTCGCCCCTCCTTCGCCCCTTGGTCACCTTGGCCGTTCAGCGTCAGGAGGCGCTTCCTCCCCGCAAGCGCCCGGGATCCGCACTGACTCCCCGACTTCACTGCGCCCACGGTGCACGTCAAAAAGGAAGTCAGGTTAAACCGTCTTCTTCAAAAGTAACCACGACCTAGAGTCTGTTATGATGCCTTCCCCCACCGCCTAGAGAAGCGACCCTTTCTTCTAGTTGACTTATCAGCTCCACACGCCCCACCTCCACCCCCGGCTGACAGCCCCACGCTGAAGCGCAGGTCCCTTGCTTGGGGACCTACTGCCTCTCCCTTCGGAAGCAGGGCGAGGAACAGAAGACTTTCGCTAACGCTCAGGGTAGTGCCAGCCCCACCATCCCCCTTGGCAGCAGCGGGTTTTGCTTTTGCTTTCTCTTTTTGCCTTGGCAAAAGGTGTGCTGAGGGCTTTGTTTCCTGGTGGGGCTGCATAATGGGCAGTCAATGGACCGTCCCTATGCACTATTTCTGTTATCCTGCTTGTATGTGGAAGGTAAAGATGGTCAAGGCAGTTTTCCAAAAACGTTAAATTGTTTGTGGCTCTTATTTTCTTTGTATCTGAGCTAAGTTACCATGTGGTTTAGACTTTCTTCAGAGAGTGATAGGAAGAGGTTTCGCAGAGTGGGAGTAGCATTCTCCTAGCTACATCAAGGACCTTTTAATGGGCCCTGCTCTGATTCACACTTCTCCATTCTTCTTTGACCCTCTGAGCTGGGAATTACCAAAAAAGCCATTACTAACACAGTCGTTTATTGCTGTGAGAATTGTTTTGCCTGCCCCACAACCTAAGGAGACAATTTTCACTGCAGCAACTGACTGCAGTGAAAACACAACTAACCTTTCAGTTACTAACCTCTTGGTTTCCATCTACATCTGCTTTAGTATTGTTTTGTCTCCTCCACAAAATTCAAGATTTCCTTAATTCTTGTAATTTCTACTATCCCTGCCCTTTCTCGTTTACCCAAAGCAAAGAACCAGGCTTAACTGTTCTCCCAGAACTAGGTTCCCACAGGTATTTGTTTTCCTGCATCCGTTCTTCCTTCTAGCATCTGCTCGTCGGCTTTCTTTCACCCTGAGTCCAGACTTGTGGCCCTATTAGAGAAAGCACTGGAATTTTGAACTCCGTGCCATTTGGGTAGGTTATTTGGCAGTGTGTCAGCTTCACGATGCTAGTGATGGCATACACCTCATCGGGTGTACACAGATTGGCTTGTGCAGGTGGTCTTGGTCTCCCAAATGCTGAATGAGCACCAGTGTGTCCTTCAGGAGATGCCAAGTGCTTAGTTTACTTTTCTGCTTCCTTGGAGAGCTAACAGCTTGCAGGAAACCAATCCTCCAGGGAATCTTGAGGTTCTCACCAGCCCTCACCATCCAGTCTGTGCTCAATGACATCTGACTCCTGGTAGACTGCCATGGAGCCAGCTGTCACTTCAGGACCTGTTTTTGAACTAGCAAACCCAGACTTCTGATCCTCTCCTACTGCTCCTGTACACTCTGCACGCATGGTAGAGACTCCACAAAATGCTTAGCAGTGTGAACCATGGAAGTTCCCCTGAAAATATAAATGGTGTTATCTTCATCCTTCCTAAGCCATTCTCCTCTCCATTTGTCTGTGGTTATAAAATATTGATATCCAGCTTCTCTTTAGAATGCACAAATCTCTTTGGTCTAGGGCTTATAAGACAGAAGTTAGTGATCAGACAGTGAGAGAGATGGATTTCCTTTGACCAATGGAAAAATACTAACAATTTTAGTATTTAGTATTAGCCATTTTCTGTCAAACACCACTGGATATATATATAAAATGAAGCATATAAAAAGTCATTCTAGGGGTGATGAGGCCTCTTTTTATTTACATCTGCCTTTTAGATTTGTCCCAATGTTGCATTTAGAGGTAAACATTAAAACTCCCTTGAGAACCAGTATAAAGTTGTAAAGTGAACAAGATGCAATAGAAACTATCCATAAAGAGTCTGTTTTATAAATTGCTCTGTAATTATCTTTTCAAAGTATAATAGATTTCTAAGATAGTTTATATGCCCTTATATAACAAATTTTCTAAATAAGGAATTATTTTCACACTTTCTCAGTCCTTCTTCCCACTCTTCAACCTACCATCCCCATAGGGTCACAAACTGAGGCAGACTGAACTTTCTTAAACTTGCTAAGTTTAAAGAAAGACATGGAAAAACATCATGAGAGGACAAGACTCACTAGCTAATGCGTTATGTATGAATGCTTATACATATGTTATATAGGAAGGCTGATAACAAGTTTTCTTAAGTCATATCAATAATTAATATCCGTACTAAGTGACCACTGTAAGTGTCAAATGTTGAAATTGCATACTTGGTTCAAAAACAGATTTAGGCAAGTATCTACATTCAGAGATGTTAAAATTTGTTAAGAAGTTTGGCAACTCCTCTACTCCATGCTACTCCAAACCTCTCCTGTAATTAATTGTTCAGAGGTCCTACAAGGTTGTTAAGTCTACAAGAGTCTGAGAAATAAAACATGCATAGAAAATGAGAAAAAGTACTTTTTTTCTCTTCCAAAGAGTATTTATAAAGCAGCATTGCACATGCCCAATATAAGTGAGATTAGAATGACCCGATATGGGCCGAGCCCGTGGCGCACTTGGGAGAGGGCGCACTTGGGAGAGTGCGCACTTGGGAGAGTGCGCACTTGGGAGAGTACGCACTTGGGAGAGTACGGCGCTGGGAATGCAGCGACACTCCTGCCACGGGTTCGGATCCTATATGGGAATGGCCGGTGCGCTCACTGGCTGAGCACGGTGTGGGTGACACCACACCAAGGGTTGCGATCCCCTTACCGGTCACGAAAAAGACAAAAAAAAAAAAAAAAAAGAATGACCTGAAATGCTACTAGCAGTAGCTTGACATAATAAAGTTTTGGACATCCATTCAAGAACAATACACAATGAACTTAGCAAAGGCTGAGGACACTATTACCCTGTGAAAGCATAGGACGTTAGCACTGAGAGTGGCTTAGATATCTCATATTCCACTGCTTTCATCTTATACGTGAAGGTATGAAGACCCTGGGTGATTAAATGGCTTCCCCAAGTTCTCCCAGCTAACAAGTAGCAGAGGCAGGTATTCAATCTAAAACTCCTTACTCCTAATTCCACTGTTCTTTCCACTGTACTAAGAGCTGTAGCTAATTCACTGGATTCTGCAAAGGCAGCTTGAAAACTCTACAACTCCAAACTGCAAAGGAAGGCAAAGCTGCTGCTTGCCCAGTTCACCTGTTTGGGGTCAAAGGGCACAGACCAAAGTGGCCAGGAAAGAGAGCAGCGAGACTACAGGGCAGAAGAGTGGAAGTTTCCAACAAGGGCGGGTGATGGCCACATCTCCTGCAGGAGCGGACTTCTTTTTTCTGCTATAATTCCTGATACTTTGGAACATAAGATTTATTTTGGAGAGGTGAGAGAGAATAGTTTGGAAAAGAGGTAGGTTAGTAGTGTGAGTGGCTGTTGAATATGTGGGAGAAGGACATTAGAGAAAATGTGTGTAGTAATCATATAAGATGGTACATTTTCCTTTTTTGTTGACTGTCCTCCCAAATGGTGTCCATCATGTAGGGAAGGGCAGAGGGATGTCAAAGAAGAAAAAGTAAGGGATGGAAGCTGTTATGGCAAATATACCTACCTGCCACCCCATGCGATATTTTAAAATTCACATTTGAAAACAGAAATAATTTAAAGATTTAAAGATTTTTTTTTTGCTGCTGTTCCTGTTGTTTCTCTTGTTGCTGCTGCTTTATTTAAAACAAAAAAATTCCATCCAAAGTTCAAACTGTAACCAGACTTAATTTTATAGTTAATATTTACATGGTGAAATTTCCCCTCAAGTCATCAGTCCCCAGTATGGGGATTTTTAACTCTGAAAGCCTGTGAATTATTACAACAAAAGGCATTTAGTGTTAGTAAAATCAGTGGCTGTGAAGCTAGCATTAGAGTGAAAGTGCTTTTTGGGAACCAAAATTTTACAGGTCCTTCTGCACTCTGGTTCATTGATGATAATTATTTAAGCATGTCTAAAATATTTCAGCTTTACTCTCATCAGCATGATGATCTGTGCTATAGCTTTTTACATTTTTTTTATTTGTAAAAGAACTGATCAAATTGTTCAATTATAGTTTGTTGTAACTGATGTGAATCTTACTCCTCAAACTCAGGTGTACGAGAAACAACACTTTATTTTCAGAAAATCAAATGAAATTTTATTCTGAGTTTCCATTCCACCAGGTTGGCAGAACTTTAATTTCTGTCATTATTGAGGTTTCCCCAGCTCATGCAAAGTACCAGGAAGACATTCAGGAAGGTCTCTCCTTTAGTCTTTGGCTCCCACTGGTTTCTTCTGAGTTTCCCATTGTCCTGGAGCTCCAGGTTTGGCCTCCGTAGGTGATGCACACAGTCACTTCTTCCAGACCCTGCCCAGGTCCTGTTACTTTCCAGGAGGTACTGCAATGGAGCTGGCCATGGGTCTCCCCTACCCTCAGAACCTAGACCTCTATTTTCTCTCATTCCTTTACCCCACTATTCTACCTCTGCCCCCTCAGAAGTCTGCTCATCTCCTCTGAGACACCTCAATAAACTCAGGATTCCACAAAAGGTTTGGGGGAGGTGGTCTTTAAGCAAATTTTGTGTGGCCACACTAATTTGCCCTAAGTCAGAGGAGCACAGAGGCCTGACTACATACTTGGTTAGGTGGAAGAAACATACAGTGAGGACAAAGCATTGATTTCTCACGTAGTAGTATACCTTGCCATAGCAGCTAAAGTGTAAGCAAGACAGAAATGTTCCAGGTAGGTTCAGGGTATTTTTCATTGACCATAGATGACCATTCTAAGGAAGTTGAAAACCAAGGAGCTTCTTTATCTTATTAAACAAGGAGGAAAAATCTTTCATGGAATGGCAGTAACAAATATACATACTACTCTGAGTACTCTTTGTATTAGCTCATTTCACCCTCATATACACCATATGAAGTAGGTACTATTTTACAAATGGGAGAACTGAAGCACAGAGCTTAAATAATTTGCCCTGTTCACATGCTAATAAGCAACAGAGGCAGAATGTGAACCCAGAGCCCATGGTCTGACCCCACATTGTCCTGCCTCTCTGTCCACCACTCTCTTCCTGCCTTGTAGAGTACATTACAATTTGTAAATCTCTGAGGGTGGGGACAGTCCAGTGGTGCTCAGACTCTCCTAAGTAAGCAGGGAGCAAGGCACATTGGCCACATTATCCAGAATCCTGAAATGTCTTTCTTCCCTGTCCTTCTTGACTTAGGTAATGATCCATTCACCATTGTCAATGAAAACACAGGCAAGTGCATCAAGCCACTGCACGGCTGGATAGTAGCAAATGATTGTGATGAAACTAGGGACATGTTATGGAAGTGGGTGTCCCAGCATCGGCTCTTTCATTTGCAATCCCAGAAGTGCCTCGGCCTAGATATTACCAAACCCACGGATTCCTTGAGAATGCTCAGCTGCGACTCCAATGCCATGCTGTGGTGGAAATGTGAGCACCACTCTCTATATGGTGCTGCCCAGTACAGACTGGCTCTGAAGGGTGGACATGCCATCGCCAGTACAAATACATCTGATGTCTGGAAGAAAGGAGGCTCAGAAGAAAGCCTTTGTGACCAGCCTTACCATGGTGAGTATTGGAGAGTGACATTAACCTATTTCATGTTGTGCTTGCTAAATGTGGCATTGAACATGCACTATTTTGTAATAATAAACCTATACACTGATAATGGCAGTGAGCTAGCATTCAGTTCCAGGCACCGTGCAGTTACTTTGAGCTACATTCTTACAACACACCTGTTAGATCGATAGTACCTGCCCTCCCCCGACCTTTTACAGATAAGGCAAGGAAAGGTTAAGTGCCTTGTCCAGAGGTCACTCAGTCATGTTGTGGTATTCCTGGGATTTGAAATCTGACGCCTGAGTACTTCCTATGATATTCTGAACTCTAGAGGAAAAGAAACATTGGATTAACAGGAAATCCTTCATACAAGCTAAAAGCCAAATGATCTAAGAATGTCTATCTTGTTCTAACTTAAAAAAGAAGAAAAAGAAATGTATTTTTCCTTGCCTATAGATTTTGATATAATGGGAAAATTTTAAGAGTCTCATGTGGATTTATTTATTTGCATTTTTGGCTGGCTGTCACACGTTGATGTTTGTATTTATGATTCAGCATTTTAAGGGTGGACTTTTTCTCGACTGCTTCCAAAAAGTATATCAATATCATCTTTGGAAGTGCTGACCATGAACTTTATTCCGAGTCTAAGAATTGGATTGCAAAAATTTTCTAAGTTTAAAAAGAATGAGTAGATTATTTTTTAAACCTCGAAATGTAATTAACTATCACCCAAGCACATATTTTTTCATTACATGCTCTAAATTACATCAAATGTTGACATATTTGTAATTATCTAAGTCCTATTATCTAACTCTTGCTTTTCTTTAAAACTTACGTAGCTTTATGGAGGTTTTCTTCTCTTAAAGCTCAGACTCAGGATAGCATCTTTGCTCCCATTCTTGCTGTTATCTGCACAATTTTTTCTCCCGAGGAAACCTCTTTCTATTACCTAGTGAAGAAGATGCACCTACTTATAAGAATGTCAGGTTCTGCTGTTATGGGGAAATACAAAGGTACTTCAAAAAGTTCATGGAAAGATTTGTATTATCTTTTAATAATATTTTTCCATAAACTTTTTGAAGTATCCTCGTATTAGAGAATTAGAGATGAGGTTTTCCTTTCCTTCCATCCCCAACCTTTGAGTAGTTGAAAAAATCTGTTTCCGCTAGCCAGCCTTCTCCTAAACTTAAAATAGTTGCTTAAGGTAATTGCTTTCTGAATACCACTAGCTGGCAAGTTTAAATTTTATGCCCCCAACCTTTGAGTAGTTGAAAAAATCTGTTTCCGCTAGCCAGCCTTCTCCTAAACTTAAAGTAGTTGCTTAAGGTAATTGCTTTCTGAATACCACTAGCTGGCAAGTTTAAATTTTATGCCACAAAAGCCTTTCTCTAACTTGGCAGCTAAGAGAAAACATGGAAACAAACAAAATGCTTTTAAATTGAATTTAACTTGTTCAGGGATGAGAAAGGATCATTTTCTTGGCAGAGCCCTTTTGGTCTCCAGCCCCCAGTTCTTTTGAGGGGCATCACTGTTGTCTTAAACTCTCTCAGTCCCCAAAAGTGTGTTCATTTCAGTGTAACCGGTTTTCTTTTTTATCCTATGTATTTTATTTATGCATTTATAATGTTCTTCTCTGAAGGGGGTCTATGGGCTTCAAAGTGATCAGTGGCACTAAAATGTTAAGAACCTACCAAGGTGAGAGCTAAACAGTGCCAGCACCACCTGGGAGAGAGCTAAACAATGCCACCAACACAGCCCACAGGCTTAGTGTTTCTTGACCTTTCCAAATACAATATTTGGAACACTAAATTTTTTTAAAAGGTGTATATAGTTCTCAATAGTCAAGACATACCTCAGGTTTTAATTTTTACAGAGGCCAGAGCCGAACCTGCCACCTCTTGTCTGTTCCTCTCTAGGTAGGTAGCTGGTACCATCTAAGTCCTACATGTGAGAAACCTACGAGTCACCCTGGAATTTTCCTGCTTTCCTCTCCCACCATTCAAATTTAATCAGATATGAAATCCTGACAATTCTACCTTTAAATTCTTTTAAAATTCTACCTTTCTGTTCATAAGTTAAGAACTGCTGTAATAAGTTGGGGACTTTCTCAAGGACTACTCTCTTGGACTCTTGATAGGGTTCCCTACCCCCTCCTTCTTATCTAGAAGTATAAAGATAATAAAGGTAAGATACCTGAGTCCCAACAAAGTGAAGTCCAGGGTTACCCAGCTTGTCAGAGCAAAGCTAGATCTCCAAACCAGGATTTCTTTACCAAAATATAGCTTATTTATTTCTCCATTTGGTTTTTTCAGTATAAAAAATTTTACTTCCAATGTAATAACTTATTTGCAATTGTGCCCTGGGTTGGCTCATACTGTATGAGTCATGTTCATCTCAGAGAAAACTTTACTGGTATAGGTTTTATGAGTGAACTGCTTTTGACTAGCACCCAGATATGCATTTATATCATTAAGATATCTTGACTTGACTAGCACTCTTCTGATTATGAATGTTTGGTGAATCATACTGAAGAAATAGATTTTTAGTGGAGGGATGGCTGTAGAACTGTCTGAACTTTTGGGCAACTCTTTAACCATTGAAGTTATTTTGTCCCATATTACTAAAAAATTAACTTGTTAGTTTTCCACCTAAGTACCTCGTGTCACAAATTTGCACCTATTGCATAATAAGCTGTCGTTTTAAGGATGCTATCACCATAAATTTGCACATTCAGAGGAGATTCTTCTCAGGAAAGCCTATGTTGATAAGGAAACCCATGGGATTTAAGAGGTCCAGCAACAGCAAAGTACGGGAGTAAAACTCGTAATGAATAGTTAGCATAATTTAGCTGCTTCTGTTATTGTTCTTGTTGTATGTTTATCATTCTTCAAAGCATATTGTGACTGAGAGAGCTTTTTGAAGCCCAGCTTTGAGCTATGACTCCTAACTTGAAACCAGAGAAACAGTCATTGATGCCACAAGTTGTCTTTGTATGTGAAGGACTTTAATCAGAGAGCCTGTTTTCATCCCTGTCACTTAAAGCTGAGTGACTGAATGTTTCACTTAACTACTTTTCAAAAATGGGGATTTCACAAACTAGTGTAATATTTTGCCCTACAGATCTCACAGGTTTATGGTAAAGAGCAGATAAAAGAAATGCATAGGAAAGCACTTTGTATTACAAAATAAAAGAAAAAACTGATGGTTCTGCAAGTAACAGTCATTGTGTTCAGGGACTATCCTCTTAGTGTTGTAATATGGGAAGAGAAATTGGTCATGAGCTATTGGGAGTTTTTGGTGGGGTTAAAAACAAAACATGTAATAAGCAGAATCCTTATAGAGTATAAGGTCAGCATACTCTTTAACAGAAGTACCCTGTTCAAAACCATCTATACAACATAGGAAAACAAGACCAGTGATCCTTAAAAGATTGTTTACAAAGAAAAGCATCCATATTATTCTTACCTTTTGCTGTACTGCTCAATACATTCCAAGCTGTTAAGTCTCACACTTCAGTTAGATGAACACCTGAGAATAATAAAGGATGTAGAATCAAACACTGCCTTAAGCATACTTTTAAGCAAATCTTTCAGACATTTTGAGGGATCTTCATAGCCTGGTAAAGGGTGATGATATCTGATTACTGTGCTATATCTAATAGCCATTATTTGACCTGATAATGACCAGAGTTTTAAACAAATTGAGGATATCGAAAACGGTGACAGAAATAAATACAGGGTTAGCTATTCTACAAAAACACCTTTTCAGGAGAACTGTTGTCAATATAAGTATTGAGTAACATTTCCAGGCATATTTGAGGTTGTTATCTTTTTCAGTTCCTCTCTATGTACCAGGGAAAATGGTCAAAATGAAAAGCTAGATCTGCTGCCTCTCTAGCCACCAGTTGCTCTTATGACTGCCACGTTGAAGCTGGTTCTTCTTTCATAACCTGAATCACCATGCCCTGACCTTCCCCAAGAATCCATTCAGAGATCCAGCAGCTCTTCTCAAAACCTACAGTCTCTCGGGGCCGGCCTGGTGGTGCACTGCTACAGTGCACTGCTTGGGAGTGTGGCGGCGCTCCTGCCGAGGGTTCAGATCCCACATACAGACCGGCCACTCACTGGCTGAGCAAGGTGCGGGCGCAGCACTGAGAGTTGCGATCCCGTTGCCGGTCCCGGTCCGGTACGGGCGTGATGCTGAGGGTTGCGATCTGTTGCTGGTCACGAAAAAAGACAAAAAGGAAAAAAAAAAAAAAAAAACCTACAGTCTCAATTCTACCTCCACTCTCTGAAACAACAGGCTATTTGTCCATCTCTCTAACTTCAAAGTCTGCCCACCGTCAGTAATTCCAAGGTATTTTTCTGGCCCCACACTTACTAAAAAAGATAAAATAGAGGTCAGTTTAATCTCATTCAGGACACCATTTCTGGTGAAGTACTCTGCCACCCACAGTAGAGTCTCTAGATCCCTGCTTGATCAAGCCAGAATCTTTTTTTTTTTNTCAGATCCCACATACAGACCGGCCGCTCACTGGCTGAGCGAGGTGCGGGCGCAGCACTGAGAGTTGCGATCCCGTTGCTGGTCCCGGTCCGGTACGGGCGTGATGCTGAGGGTTGCGATCTGTTGCTGGTCACGAAAAAAGACAAAAAGGAAAAAAAAAAAAAAACCTACAGTCTCAATTCTACCTCCACTCTCTGAAACAACAGGCTATTTGTCCATCTCTCTAACTTCAAAGTCTGCCCACCGTCAGTAATTCCAAGGTATTTTTCTGGCCCCACACTTACTAAAAAAGATAAAATAGAGGTCAGTTTAATCTCATTCAGGACACCATTTCTGGTGAAGTACTCTGCCACCCACAGTAGAGTCTCTAGATCCCTGCTTGATCAAGCCAGAATCTTTTTTTTTTTTTTCCTTTTTGTCTTTTTTCGTGACCAGCAACAGGATCGCAACCCTCGCTGTCGCGCCTGCACCGCGCTCAACCAGTGAGCGGACTGGTCTCCATATGGGATCCGAACCCTCAGCAGGAGCGCCGCTGCACTCCCAAGCGCCGCACTCTACCGAGTGCGCCACCGGGCTGGCCCCAAGCCAGAATCTTTTAGCTCTTTATCACACTGCAATAATGAAGCTTCACATGGATTATCTCACTGAATCCTCATGAACAACCTTGAGGAAAATACTATTATTCCCAATTTGCAAATGCAGAAACTAAGGCTAATAGAGGTTGAGTAGCTTGCTCCAGCCAAGTCAGTGGGGGAGCCAGCACTTAAGTCCAGATGTGAAGTCAGCCTCCACGCTTTTAATTTCCAGCCTACTCAGGTACTTATTTTCATAAGTGAAAACAATAGTCTTTCTTTAAAAAAAGGTTTTAGATATTAGCTAACTGACACTGATTATCCAGTTTTTAACTCTCCTTTCCTCTACTTTCTCCCCAACCCACAGAGATATATACCAGAGATGGGAACTCCTATGGGAGACCTTGTGAATTTCCATTCTTAACTAATGGGACCTGGCATCATGAGTGCATTCTTGATGAAGATCACAGTGGTCCATGGTGTGCCACCACCTTAAATTATGAATATGATCAAAAGTGGGGCATCTGCTTAAAACCAGGTGTGTATGGGCTGGTAAACTTTATACATGGAAAGAAGAGAGTACCATTTACATAAGGTAAAAAGCAGAAGGAAGAGTTCAAGATGACTCGAGGGACTACAAAAAATGTTATTCTAGATAAGGAAGAGAGAGAAGTTATGTGTAGTTATGAATGTGCTTTCAGAAGCAGGTCAGGAACAACTCAGATGGATGGTGTCATGGGAGACAAAGCAGGAAGGAGCAATCGATAGCACAGATCCTTCAGGGAGAGGGAGTGGAAAAGGCATGAGCAGTTAGCAAGTTGCTGCTGGTCTTCAGTGGAGCAGTGTCAGAAGACTAGTTGGGATAGGAGCTGGGTGATAGTGGACCGAAACACGAAGAGAAGGAAGTGGGCTTTGTAAGTTTCATGGAGAAGAAGGATAGCGAAGGGTAGTTTGAGGGGGAGATAGGTTGAAAACGCACTTACAGGAGGGCGGAGGCTGAAGTATGTTTAGGGCCTGAGGCAAAGAGTGGAAGAGAGAGGAAACATATCCCTGGTCCTCTCAAAATCCGTGACGTTGTTCCTTCTGCTATTACCATGTGTCAGAGTACATTTTCTAGTTGTTTCTTACTAGAAGCAAACTATTCAGGGTGTGCTAAAGAACTCCCTGTTCTTTAGAAAGAGAGGAAGAGATCACAGTAGCAGTTGTGTCATTATATGTAACTGAGACAGTTTCTCACCAATTAGGTGAGAGTTACAGGGGATCCACAGAACCTGATGTGTGATCGCTACTCAAGAAATATTATTTAATGGGTAATAGGCTGAAAGAATCTATAGCAAAGAGAAAGGAAAGAGCTCCCGACTTAGGTAGTAATAGTTAATACTTACAGGTCCCTGTCAGGGGTCAGGCATTGTTCTAAGCACTCTATATTAACTCATTCAGTCCTCACAGCATCCCTATAAGGTAGGTACCATTATTTATCCCCATTTTACTGATAAGCATAGTGAGGAGGAAGAATATAGTGAACAGGGGAGTTATATAACTTGACTGAGGTCATACAGCTGATAACTATCAGAGCTAGGATTCAGACCCAGGAAATCTGGCTATGAAGTCCTTGCCCCAAAATAGCTACACTGTCCTGCCTCATTGAGTAGCTTCCAAATGCAGAGTTGTAAGCAACTTGAAGAGGTCATACTGGGCCAGTGGTTCTCAAACTTCACAGTGCAACAGAATTACTTGGAGAATTTGTTAGAACACAGATTACTAGGGCCTATCTGTAGAGATTTTGATTCACTAGACTTGGGGTGGGGTCCAAGAATTGGTAGTTTAATGAATTCCCAGGTAGTGCTAAGGGTGCTGGTCTGGGGACCACACTTTGAGAACTACTTACCTCGGGAGAAGCCCAGGCTTTTCAATAGCTGGAACCTACTAAAATAGAAAAAGCCAATATTTGCTTCAGTTGTAATTGATGACAAGCAGAGTTTGGTCAATCAGGTACCAGTTTCATTTAACTTTTACTATAGTTTGGATCAGAAATTTCAAATGTAAAAAAAGAGCTTAGACAACCCCAGTGCAAACCCCCATTTCTCAGGATAGGCAGCAGACCCAAGTTCAGCAGAGTTTGGTCAATCAGGTACCAGTTTCATTTAACTTTTACTATAGTTTGGATAAGAAATTTCAAATGTAAATAAAGAGCTTAGACAACCCCAGTGCAAACCCCCATTTCTCAGGATAGGCAGCAGACCCAAGTTGATGGAATGACCTGTCATGGGGAGATCACATTTGTGTGGAGCCTGTTGAATAACCTGGGATTCCTGATTCTCACTCCTCAGTGTATTTACCTCACTCTACCTTGCTGCCTTGACTGCGAAATGTCTCAGTGCCTCTAGCCTCCTTTGGGGTGGAGAGGGGAGAGTTGTTAATGCATGAATATGCCTTCCGGAGTTACTTTTTATGACAGAAGCACAATTGTGAATTTCTTAAATATGAGGACTGCTAAACTGTGGAAGTTGTATAACAGCACACTGCCATCCCACTGGAAGCTTCTGGATTCAGAAGCATAGAGCCTCAGTGGTAATAATGAACCTGTAGGCAATGTGCTTACAAATCCATCCTATTTTGTTTTCACCCAATGTTACAGTCTCTGTTGCTATTTACACTGTAGAAAAGTGGCTGAAGAAGCAACATGTGCCCGAAGAACCAACATGTGCCCAATCAGAAGATCAACAAGACCAGGCTCAGAGACCGGCACTCTCATTATAGCTTCTCCACAAACACTTGTAGATCTTTGTTCTCATCTGTGAAATAAGAGCTTTTGCCAAGATGATCTCTAAGGGCCATTCCAACTTATAGGTCCATGAGTGTAACATCTAATATGTAATTTATTATGAGAGGCCCTTTAGAATCCCCCCCAAATGGAGCCTGGGACACACTTGATATAGCCTACATTGGTTTATCCCTCTTGTTGGGAGCATGTGGAAGGCTCTGAGTATATTTTTGAACCAGTTGTATAATTTCAGGAAACAGCTTGAAGATTCTTTGAAGTCATGCATGCTTTTATATATCTATTAAAGAATATAGTATGTATATTATGTATCTATACACATAATATGTTTACAATACAAGTATAATGTGAATTATATAATACTAATCATATATCACATGTTTAATCATCTATTAAAATATTAAGGAGAAACTCAAACTTAGTTTCCTAAATAAGGTGTAGTCACTTGGGTTCTAAATCTTGGCCATTTAAGCAGCATGTCTGTGCACACACATACACATACAGTGGTGTCTTTGCAGGCTGTGGGTGAACCCAGTGCAGTCTACCACCATGTTTAAGAGAGTTTGTTTTACATTAGCTCAGTGTTTGAAAATGTATGCACATTGAGACACCTACCTTCAAGCAGAGGGCAGTCAGGGACATGGGCGAAAACATGGTATTGTAATTGATAGGGGATAAAAGAGGAGTGGAAGATAAAGGGAGAGTGGAAGCTTTAACCAGCCTGAGTCATTTGGTGTCCTGTGACTTCAGTTTCATTGTGTAACCAAAGGATTAAAATGTGATCTAAATGAGCAATGGCCTCCATTTTGGCATATCCTAAGAGTATGCAAATTGAATTGCAGTATCTGTAAGCATTTTAAGTAATAGAAAACATTATGCCCTTACTTTATGATCACTAAGGTATCTTTTTTTATCAACAGAAAATGGCTGTGAAAATAATTGGGAAAAGAATGAGCAGATTGGAAGTTGCTACCAATTTAATACTCAGGAAGCTCTTTCGTGGAAAGAAGCTTATGTTTCATGTCAGAATCAAGGAGCTGACTTACTGAGCATCAACAGTGTTGCTGAATTAACTTATCTTACAGGTAGGTTTAACTTGTGTGTGGGAGAGCAAATTGCTGAAATTGTAAAGGTGCTCTCTTCTATTTTCATATACAGGTGTGTTGTTGAACTGGATTGAATGGACCCCAAAGTCATTGGAGCTTAATCTCCATTGTAACTGTTGAGGGTGGGAAATCCTATTATGGTAGTTGAAAAGTGGGGCCTTGAAGAGGTGATTAGATTGTTGGACCACGCCAAAGTGAGTGGATTAATAATGGTGGTCAGGTGAATGTTTTTGGAAACTTTAAAAGAGAGCACATGAGAGTCTTTCTCTCTCTGCTCCACCATTTTATGCCATGTGAGACCCCTGCATTGCTGTAAAGCCACCATCAGAGAAGACCCTCACCAGACATATTCCCTGGACTTTGGACATCTCAGCCTCAGAAACTGTAAGCAATAAATTTTGGGTTTTTTAAAATAAATTACCCAGTTCCAAGTATTTTGTTATAAGCAACAGAAATGATTAATACAGTTGTTTTGTGTATATCTTTTCTGGCTTCTCTTGGGATTTAAATTTCAACACTGAAGCCCACAAGCAAAAAAAGTACTGAATGTATTATATTCCATTCATTGAAAATGCTTCTTGTGATAGAGACTAAAGAGAGACTGATGTTCAGAAAACAAGGCACAGTAGCTGATTAAACTGCTACCCTAATCCTAAATGAAAGAATTTGGGAAAAAAGAAAATTAAACTCTTTGAACATTGAAAAGTGGAGAATTTGAGGAAGATGAAGAAGATGGATGGTCTCAGTAAAAAGTTCGCATGTGTGAGGGAAGGAGTGCAGTTCTCATGGGCAAGGAGAGTTTTCAGAACACATAGAGTAGATAGGATTTTGTTCTGTTTTGTTTTGTTTGTGGGGTTGTAGTGGTAATTTTAAAATTTTTAGTTATGAAAACTTAAATCATGTAGACAAGAACAGAAAGTAACCTAAAGACTATTTATCCTTTCATATAAATTTAAGGATCACCTTGTTAATTTCAGAGAAAATCCCTGTGGGGTCTTTGACTGGAATTATATTGAATTATATTTCAGTTAGGAAGTCATTGCTGTCTCTACATTAAGTCTTCTCACCCATGAAAATGGTATGCCTTTCTATTTATTTAGGGCTTCTTTTATGTATTCAGTAAAATTCTATAACCTTTTCCATCAGTGTCTTGCACATCTTTTAAAAGAAAGTTTATAAGCAGAAGGTCTTGTATTTTTAAAAATAAAGAAATCTAAGTTACCGAGTTCCTGATGATTTGCTCTCTGAGTGAAAAAAAAATAGTAGTAATATATGATGATTGTGATGTTCCAGACAGACTTCTAAATGCTTTTCATACATTATCTCATTTAATCCCATATAACAACCCTATGTGGTAGGTATTATTATTATGCTCGTTTTGCAGGTGAGGAATGTGAGGCTCAGAGAGAAAATGTAACTTGTCCAAAGTCACTCACAAGTAATTAGCAGAGCCTAAATTTGAACAGTCTGACTTGGAAACAAGTTGTATTGGGCATGTATCTGGATTTACTTTTTATAAAACAAGTTCTTTGCAGGCTGAGATGGGTCCCATGGGTTGTTTCTTACTTTTGCACAAAACTTCAAGCATTATTGCTATGTGTTAAACAAATACCTATGGACTTATTCAGATAAATCCTGTAACACTCTTTTATAACAACTGTAAAGATCTGATAAATGCTAACTATGAGCAAGGCCCTAATTTATCCAGACAAATAAGTTAGTCATCACTACAACTTCACAAGACAAGTATTTTTATCACCAGATAAAGAAATTTTCAGAAAATTGATCAGAAAATATAGCCAACATCGCACAGCTAAGAAATACCAGAATTGGGATTTGAATATCAACATATAGAACTGTAGAGTCTTACTTTTTTATTATACAACTTACTCCTCTTACATATCTTTCTTTATTTCTTTTTATCATTAAAAGTGTATTGGTCTTTTGTCATGCTTTTTGGCTAAAGCTTTATTGAGACCTCCTTTCTTACTGTAGCTTTACCTTTTACCTGTATTGTTTGGGACTTGAATAATCAGACCTCTAGAGTGGAAATCTGTCAAGTAAGCCTAATGGGCTAGTGCTTGGCTGTGAAAGTCTATTCCAGACCTCACTGAAGGATTACAAAAAATATTGTCGAGAATGGAAAGTGCCAATAAATTTAAGTCTCCTAGAATATAGACATTTGGAAAATGATGACTTCAATGAAGGAAAAAAGTGTCAAAGTGTGACTATCAGCATTCTACCATGCAATCTAATGATGCATTTGGAGGAATGAATGTTGCACAATTTTTTATGCATCAGTTTGTTTTAATAACTCACGAAAGTGAGCTAATATGATGAAGGGACTTACTGTCCTCTACCCCTAGTCAAACACTCTCCACATTTTATGCATATCAGTAATTTTAGAGGTATATCCATTTCTAATGTTTTCAAACTCCCCTTTCAGTATGAAAGCCGTTTAGAGATATCAATATACCATATTATGATGGTTGGGTTCCTAAGACCCAAGAAAGCTGTGTTTTAACATCTAAATCTCAGAGTATCCAAATCCTGAAAAGAAATTTATATTGTGTTCCTTTACTGAAAACTACCATGTGTAAACATTGGACTAGGACTAGTGAAGCCAACGAAAGTGAATCAGACAGATTTTGTAATCAAAGTGCTTGATCAAGTCAATAATAAGAAATAAGAGTTGTACATATGCAGAACAAAATGGAGAATATTACTCCCAAGCAACCTCTAGGTTTGGTAGCTCGTGGGTGGGTGGAACTAGGGAATCTATTGCTAGAAAAAAAGCAGAAACAGACCTCTTGAAGATAAGTCCCATGCAGTCTAAAAAAGCTTTCTTTTTACTTTCTGTCTGCCCTGCACCTAATTAGTTTTGCTTTGATTTTGTTTTACTAATACGTGGGTCCTAGAGGTGGTAGATTTGGTTTCCAGGTGCTTGCTGGATTCTGTTTGGGAATCAGATTTCCCGTGGCTTTGGCCTTCCTAGGACCTCTAACCACAGATTCATCCTAGAGCTAGAAAAGAGGACCCAAGAGAGCAGGAACAGCCTGTTTCCATTCTTCCTAATTTGCCTCTATCCTGAGGAGTTATTCACCTTGAGCCACCTTAACAAGTGCCGCAAGGTTAAGACACTTCTAGGTGAGGGCTCCTGCTGGCTGTGGCTTTTCTGTTGCTTTAGAAGAAGTCTTCTCTGGCTCATTCCAGGTGCATGACAGTTATCAAGCCCTGTAGTCTCTCATTGTGGAGAGAGAAATATAGAAGTAAAAGGTCAGGTCTGAACAGGGGTCTCTGGGACAGTCAATAAATATCTACCTCAGAGGACTCACCCATTTCGTTAGGTATGGAGTTTTATGCTAGCAGTCATCTATCTCTTGATGGCAAAGATGTGGCTAGGCACAGTCTCAGATTGGTTAACTTCTTGCCTGGACTGTTTGTATAGAAAAAAAGTCTAGCTCCAGATTATCCAGGTCACCTAAGAAATTTCAATGAATACGACGAAAAAAAGAAATCTCTGCTCTTTCTATTTACCCGACCAGGACCTTTACAGTAAAAAAAAAAGAAATTTCTGCTCTTTCTATTTATCCGACCAGGACCTTTACAGTTTATCCATTTCTCATTCATAATCACCTGTGAATTAAAAAGATGTATAAAGGGGTGGGAGCGGTAAAAAAAGACATATAAAGAACATTTGTGTTTGCCAACATAAATTTTAAAATCCATGATTCAAGTGAAGTCATCCAGACAGATCACAAAGAGAACACGGTAATGAAGCTAATCAGGAGCATGTCAGTTTCAAAAGATCATTTTGTTCCATTATGTGTACTTGCCATGTGCAGGTAAGTGATAGGATTATTTACTATAATAATCTTATAATATAAGGGAGTGATTACTTCCTGCTGGGGATATCTGAAAAGGCTTCATGGAAGGGATGGTGTTGAACTTGGGGTGGATGGGAAGGATTGTTTTGCCATAGTATCCCAGGTAGAAATAAATGAAGGAATTCTGAATATCATGGTATGGTTGATTCTGGAGTACCAGAAACATGTCGTAGTTTCCAGGACTTCTTTTACTAATGAGGAAGATGTTACTGATGAAGTCTTACCAGGTTCCTGAATAATGCTGTTGACTTCCTAGACAGTGGTGAAAAACCTTACAGTCATTTGCACATTCTTCTCTTTCTTTTTCCAATATACACGGACCCGTACAAGCATGATTGCATTCATTTTTTGTGGGCATATGCACATTGAACGGCACACCGTCAATTGGTTTCACTATTTAAATTTTTTGTGCTTCTTTCCCTTTTTTGCTGATGGCATCTGGTTGTCAAATAATGTATTTGAATGATGCATCTCACTGTAGCATATGTGTATACATGTGTGTGTGCATGTGCATTCTGTAGCTCCAGCCTAAATATTCTTTTGGACTCTAGAGCTGTATATCCCATTGCCTATGATACAGTTCTGACCTGTATTTCTGACCCAGTACCAGAAAAACTTTATCATTTGGGGGATCTATATCTGTTTCCTTCTACTAGATTGAAATTCTCTTGAGGGCAGGGATTTTGTCATTTTAGTTTTTATACTCTAGTACTTGGCATTAAAATATGTGTTTAATGAATTTAGACTGTCAATCTAGAATACAATCAAATCTTCAAAATCTGTATGTACAGTGGAAACTGTATTTGATAAATCTTCTATATAAGCACAAAAGGGTTAAAAATAATGAAACGGCTACTCTGAGAAGATTCTCTTCTTACCTTAGAAGAAAGAGAATTGCACAAGCTAATGGGAAAGGAGAATTAAATTAACTTATTAGCCTTTGGGTTTCTCAGTAGTCTGAAGTGTTGTCGTCTATCAGTATCACCTGCCTTTGTTGCATAGACAGCTTCCTATAGGGATTCCTGCCTTATAATCAAGGCCTTCAGATTTTTTTTTTTTTTTTTTTTTTTGCTATTAGTAGAAATTTAAGTCTGATTTAGGTAATAACTTAGATAATGTTGTCACTTTTTAAAATTATGTAATTCTTACAGAAAAAGAAGGCATTGCTAGAATTTTCTGGATTGGCTTAAATCAGCTGTACTCTGCTAGAGGCTGGGAATGGTCAAACCACAAGCCATTAAACTTTCTCAACTGGGACCCAGGTAACTGCTCCTTCCCCCAGTCATGTTGCACAGAGCAAAAGTTTCAAAAATAAAGAGTTCCCGCTCACAGAGAGTTTATAGAAGTTTTATATCTTGACAACTCTTATGGTTACATCTCAGAAGAATATTTTTTCCTAAGCCATTCTTAATTACAGTACTGTTATAGTCAAGTTGAACCACACCGTGGGCAACTGAGCTTTTGTTGCAACACTGCATTTTCAGGGAAGAGCAGAATGAGCCCTACCAGATGGCCCAGGAGCCATTCTGTGTCCCTTAGGAGACTTGACATGTCTATGACTTACCCATGTTGTGTTTCATCTGACAAATGTAGAGCCTAAAAGTTAATCCTAACTTCAGTGCAAAAGGTTCCTTCCCACATATAGGAAAAACAGGTTAAGTGCAATAAAATATACCCCATTAGCCATTTTAGTTAATTTAGTTTACTAAATTTCCTTACTATTAAGTAAATTAATACTCTGTTATCTCAGTAAATAGAATCTTTAAAGGTAATTTAATCTTTAATTCAAGGCATTAAAGGCATTACAAAGTTATAAATTAATATTTTTACTATGTGGAATAGCAGGTTAAGAGCTACTGAGCATGAGATTTGACATGGAAGTCATTTGGGGACAGAGGTTTGTTTTTGGGGTTTTTTTTTTTTTCCTTTTTGTCTTTTTTACTGACCGGTAATGGGATCGCAACCCTTGGTGTCGCGCCTGTACCAGGGACCGGCAACGGGATCTCAACCCTCGGTGTTGCACCCGCACCGCGCTCAGCCAGTGAGCAGGAACCGGTCTCCATATGGATCTGAACCCTCAGCGGGAGCGCCGCCACGCTCCCAAGTGGCGCACTCTTCAATGCGCCACCGGGCCGGCCCTTGTTTTTTGTTTTTAAAATTACAATATATCAGAGTGTTTTCCCCCCCTGTATCCTATATTTTAGCAGAATGACATACAAGGGTACTTCAAAAAGTTCACTGAAAGATTTGTATTATCTTTCAATTCTATTTTTCCACGAACTTTTTGAAGTACCCTTCTATTTAAGTATATGATTGTTCCATTGGGGCTTATACATTTCAATTTAGTTAAAAATTTTAACTATACTATGAGTTCCCATAAAAGCAGAAAATTAGGAATATAAATTATTTTTTCTAATGACTGTCCTGGTCTTAACTTCCTTTTTTTTTTTAACTCTTTGAAAACCCTACCTTTTAAGATATGCCTAGTGCACCTGTAATAGGTGGATCAAGCTGTGCAAGAATGGATGCCGAGTCTGGTCTGTGGCAGAGTTTTTCCTGTGAAGCTCAACTGCCCTACATCTGCAGGAAACCATTAAATAATACAGTGGAGTTAACAGGTACCTTTCTCACTTACTCATACAGATTGGTCTTAAAATAATAGTTTTGTGAAGTCAAGTAGATCCGTTTCAGACATCTATTTCCACCTTTCCTTCACCAGATACTGCCAATGCAGAAAAGTATTTGACCATCTGCAGGAAACCATTAAATAATACAGTGGAGTTAACAGGTACCTTTCTCACTTCCTCATACAGATTGGTCTTAAAATAATAGTTTTGTGAAGTCAAGTAGATCCATTTCAGACATCTATTTCCACCTTTCCTTCACCAGATACTGCCAATGCAGAAAAGTATTTGAAGTAGATCCATTTCAGACATCTATTTCCACCTTTCCTTCACCAGATACTGCCAATGCAGAAAAGTATTTGACTTTTAACCCTGTGGTTAGATATTATCAACTGTATACAAATAAAGCTTTGGTTAAGGCAATGAAGAATATCAAGTAAAAATACATATATGCCCAGAAGAAGGCAGAGATATTCTAGACAGGAAATATATTTCTGTTCACAGGTGGCTTATTTTCCTCTAGAGCAGAAGTTCCCAAAGCATGGCCCCCAGATCAAGAGCATCAGCATCACCTACACCTGCTAGAAATGCAAATTCCTAGGACCCACCCCAGATTTATTGAATCAGAAATTCTAGGGGTGGGGCCTAGCAATTTGTGTGTCCAAGCCTGAGAATGACGGCTACAGGGACAGATGTTGTGTCTTTCGTGCCTCTGATGAGTCGAGACCTGTGGATGCAGGAGTATTCCCAGGCTTTCACACCTCTGCCCTGCCATGCTCGGCCCCTCTTATTCTCTCTTTTTCAGGAGGGTTTATTAGGTCTTTGTATTGAAAAATCAGGTAAAAAAGGAGAGGTGAAGAAGGCCAAAATGTGACAAGTGGCGGCTTTTCCAGGGAGTTTGGGGGTGAGAGAGACAGAAGAACAGCTGAAGTTTTTGAGGAACAAAGAAGTTTGAGGAGTTTTCGAAAGAATGGAGAAGAGGGGTGCCCTGACTGCCAAGCACAGGGCCCAACGTATACCTGGTATTTGATTAAATCCTCACTGAATGAGAAAAAAAGCCATACTCAAAGCTAGGAGGAAAAAGGGTGACTGTAAAATGTCCTGCTTTAGGAAACTATGGAGACAGGGAATAAAGCATCCAAATGTCTTGTCATCCAAAAAGGAGCCTAAAGCAATTTTTATAAGAAAAAATAGATACATAGAATAAAGAATGTAGGGGAGTATTTTAAGATAATAGGGAGAAATGAACATTTATCTTCCACATTGATTCAAACTAAATTTAGTCCATACAACATAAGGCATAATGGAAGAGTCAGCACAAATGAGAATAAACTAGAGTGACTGATGAAGATTATGTAAATATCTTGCAGTAGCAGTTATTAAGTAAATCATGATGTTTCCACATGATTGAATAATATGCATTTATTAAAATAACTGTGCCAGCAGGAAACTACAAAGAGCAGAACAAAATGATATGCCTACTTATCATTTTAACCTTGTAAAAATATGTATTCATAGAGACAAAGACTGAAATATGAAAATGATTGTTTTAAGTTCATTTGTGGGTTGTTTTTTCCTCTGTTCCTTTATCATAATTGTAAAATATAATAGTAATAATAAATGCTATTTCAGAACCTTAAAGTTAATTGAGTTATCTTGTAAGTGTGAGAGGCTAGCTGAACCTGAATCTTATTCTTTAGTAAAAACCAAACTGTCCACATTTTTAAGATGCCATGTTTTCTTACAACAGATGTTCCAAGTGGTTCTGAACAGTGAAGTCTGAGGAACTGAACCACTTTCTAGTTTTGTTAATGGGGGTAGAAGTATTTTGTGTGGTTTTATAACTGACTCTTTTTCTCTAATCTGGAAAGATTAGGCCTTCACTTGTGAGTTTTATCATAGTCAAAACAAAGAATCACTAATTCCATGAGGACCATCTGTTCAGGAGAGAGGAGGAAAGAAGAGGTCCGGAGATGCCCTTTGCCCTTTCCCTCTGTTGCTGCCATCTCTAGGGTGTACAGCATATAAATGTCTTATTCTGTTTCTTGAATCTCTGCCTGTCGTTTGTTCCACAGGGAGCATTAATGCACATCCTCTTGCTAAGCTGGCCATACAAGAAAAAGAGGCTCAACCTCATTGTAATTTTCTCAAAGGAGGAACCTAACAAATCCCATACCTAGGAAAAGATTTGTCAGCAACTGGTTTACCCCATGCCTTCCTTCTGTCTACTAGTACTAAGGGCAGTCCCTCCCTTGATTCTATCTACACCCCTTAAACTAGTTTGTGCCCAGCCACATAGCACATTTGTATCATATTAAAGTCACATCATTATCTGAGTCCCTGCAGGAATTCTTATGATGCCATGCATACATTAGGTACCACATAAATTCATGTCACTGTACTATCTGACAGTACTCCCCAGTTTCCCAGAAGCCTTACGATTCAAGAAAAAAAATTTTTTCAATGTTATTGATTCAAAATAGATGTATCTTTCCTGGAATATAAATAGCTGCTTTCCCCCCAGATGTCTGGACGTATTCAGATACCCGCTGTGATGCAGGCTGGCTGCCAAATAATGGATTTTGCTATCTGCTGGCAAATGAAAGTGATTCCTGGGATAAGGCACATATGAAATGCAGAGCCTTCAGTAGTGACCTAATCAGCATTCATTCTTTAGCAGATGTGGAAGTGGCTGTCACAAAACTCCATAATGGGGGTAAGTTTTAAAAATATCCTATTTGAGAGGCTTAAGACATTTTAAAGTATCCATATTTTCAGACTCTTAGTAGGAATGAAAAACTTACAATTTGATCCTATAGGTCAGTGCTGTCTAATAGGATTTTCTGTGGTGATGGAACTGTTCTATAACCTGCACTGTTAAGTACAGTTGCCATCAGCCACATGTTTTGAGCAGTTGAAATGTAGCTAGGGCAACTGAGGAACTGAATTGTCACTTATATTTAATTTTAATTACTTTACATTTGGATTTAAATAGCCACATGTGCCTAGTGGCTACCAATGTGATGGAACAAACATTGATTGAATTATCTCCCTCTTCTCAAAAAGTAAGTTCTATTTAACTAATTATTCCATTTTTGTATTATTTGAAAAATAAAGACTGGTAAACAAAAATACATTAGACTGCCAATATTATGACCTCTTCCTAGGATTCACTAATAATAATAGCTGCTTGTAGATTCCTATTCTGTGCCAGCATGGTGCTAACTGTTTTACATGTGAAGGCAGCATAGTCATTCCAGGACTGCAGTGGACAATATTTCTATTTTAATTAGGATGTCTATGATTTTATTTGTGGAATTTCACTAACCCTCATGAATCAAAGTTCATCTGCTCCAGATATCAGACACACCCAGACTACAGATCTGTTCTACCTGTGTACACTACCTGCATAAGTGGCTTGAACAGCCTTCATTACCCAACCTGTCTGCCTTATCAACATTGTAATAGGCTAATTAAAGATACATTTTGGGTCTCAAAACCCCTTATGAGAATGTAAAAACCAGTGACGATGTAATATTGAAGTTTGTAATTGAGTAAAACCAAGTAAAACATTTCTTTCTTTTAGATGCTAAAGAAGAAATATGGATAGGCCTTAAGAACATAAATACACCAGCTTTATTTCAGTGGTCAGATGGTACTGAAGTTACTCTAACATATTGGGATGAGAATGAGCCAAATGTTCCTTATAATAAGACTCCCAATTGTGCTTCCTATTTAGGAAAGGTAGGAAACCTCCTGCAGTTTATGTTCTTGTTCTACCTAATAATAATATTAAGATGGCTTTGGTTGGGATATCTGATAAACTGGGAAAGAAAATAAAAGGTAAGAGCCCTGTAGGTTGTCTTTCTGATAGCTACTGAAAAAAGGTAAATAAAAGCAATTACTAAATAAGCAATTAACTTCCTGTCTGAGAGCATCTGCTCTGATGTGAAACAGTTGCAAAGAATCCCTTCCGAACTCAGATTTTTTTACCAGATTGGTTCTAGTAACCTGCTTTTTCTCAGGAACAGAATCTCCATTCACCTTTCTGCCTTCCGTGTGATATTTCACATGTAGCTCAATTAACCTGAAAAATCTCATCTTCTGAATTCATGTTCAGATTAAGTTTTATATTAATCCTATTTTGAGAGATGAAAAAATAAATTTATTTAAAACTTAGGGCTAACTTTGTTCAGAATACACCTTAATCCTATAGAATGCCTAAACATGTATCAAACATACTTTAGTTAAGAGCCCAAAATAGGCTGTGTCTTAAGCAGAAAGAATATATATATACCTCCATTTTTTTGTTTGTATCACTTTGTTGTGGCCTCCTAATTGGTTTTAAGGATAACGTGTCACACAGACGTCTAGAGAGACTTAAGCAGAAGCAATAAATGTTATATGTATTTAGAAGTGTTTCCATAGTAAAGATGTATTTAGAAAGGTGTCACATTTTGTGCTCTATTTAAAAGGCTATCCAAAATGTCTTTAGAAGAGTATCAAAGATGGAAATGAGGTCCCATGTGCAGGAGTGAACTGACAGCACACCTAGATGGTGTTCCAATGTTTGAAACTGACCTTTATCACAATTGACTTATTAAAATGTAGTTTGAAGAAAGCAGAGTGACTTTGCCAGTTAAGCAAAGTTAATGTTAAGTAGCTTATTTGAAAGAGAGAACTTTGAGGTCTAGGCTGATGTAGAATTTACAGAAAATTTGATCTATAATTCTTGAGAGTAGCTATTCTAACCACCATCATCATTTTACGTATGAGGAAACTGAGGGTGGTTAGTTGATGTGCCCCCAAATTTTTAACTTGTGGACAGTCTTTGTCATATGGAAGAAGTCTAGAATGCTGGCAACTGTTTATAGTGCTTCTCTCCTATTCTTCTATTCTATTAACTTCTATTCTGAGTGTCCTTTGATAGTTTTAGTGTTGCTTATAAGAAAATGAAATTCATCCACACTCTGACCTTGAGTGATGCTGAGTCCACAGGTTGTGAGCCATACCTTGCAGGCCTGTTGGGTAACATTTTCTAAAATGTGTCCTCACATTCAGTCATTTGTCTACATTCATTCTCTCTCTCTTTTTTGCTCATTTTCTGTCTCTCTCATTCTCTTAGTTTTTGTGAGTTTAATCTAAATATATGGCAAATAATTTCTTTTGTCGGCAAATTTTTTTGTCTCTTTTTTTAAAAGCTAGGTCAGTGGAAAGTCCAATCATGTGAAGAAAAACTTAAATATGTATGTAAGAAAAAGGGAGAAAAACTGAATGATGCAAAATCTGATAAGATGTGTCCTCCTGATGAGGTACGTGAAATCTCTGTCATGTTTCATAAGCGGTAGTACACCTTCTTGGTTAGAGATGGTAGTTGAGACTTAAAACAATTCAGACTTGGAAAATAGAAGAAATTACTAGCTTGTGTTCATTTACATTAGAGCAAGTTAAAAGGCAGTAAATCATAGCATATTGGCATTCTTACAGAAGGAAAAGGAGTTACCTGTTCATGAATTTCTTTAAAAATTTATATGATTACTATCCTCAGTGCTGATATCTTTACTTCCCCCACTGATATTATTCCTGTTCAAAAATAATTCAACCAACAACTGTTATACTCTTATGATGAGCCAGACACTAAGGGTAAAGAGAATTAAGCCACACTTTCTGTCTGACTCAGGTTCAATCTTGTGGAGGTTATCTATGAAATTTCATCCCACCCTCATCACATGCATGAATTCACTGGCCATGTCCTCAATTTCCACAAGTTGTAAGATGGTGTCAATGTAGCAAAAACTTGCTTATCAGAGGGGGGACATCATTATGTCAGGAAACAGTGTGACAATATTTCTCCTCTAATTTAGGGCTGGAAGAGACATGGTGAAACCTGTTACAAGATTTACAAAGATGAGGTCCCTTTTGGAACAGACTGCAATCTGACTGTCACTAGCAGGTGTGACCATTAGTAAGCATGTACTAGTAAAGTTTTAACTCTGTGTTCTTTGCTAAATAATCTTCCTAAGAAAAAGGTACGTTTTCAAATTAATTCAGTCATTGTAAAGTATTTGCCAATTTGATCCTTCTTTTGTAGATTTGAGCAAGAATACTTGAATGATATGATGAAAAAGTATGATAAATCTCTAAGAAAATACTTCTGGACTGGGCTGAGAGATGTAGATTCACGTGGAGAGTATAGTTGGGCAACTGTTGGTGGAATAAAGCAGGCTGTGACCTTTTCCAACTGGAATTTTCTCGAGCCAGGTGAGTGTCTTGGCTTTTAAAGTAGTAGAATACAGTGACTAGTGAAATGCAGCATTTCTCCCAAATATGTTCTTCACTTACTTTTGAAATGTGAGGGAAATGATGATCTTCAGGACTGGAGCCTATCTGTGGAACTATAAATAGAAGCAGTGGCTATGTTGTCCCTGTTAAATCCTTGGGATAATCCAATGAAAGAAATTAGAAAACTCAGTTTTACAAAACCACCATTTAGCATTACAGAGCTAGAACCACCAGTGTGTTTTTTTATACTTTCTATGTAGATCTCAAACAATCTAGAAGCTTCATTGTGAAACACTTTACATTTTCATCTCTCTCCTTCTTAAACTTCTTTCTTCAAATTGAATGTGTTTATTTCTGTTATTCTCAATGGGAAAGAATTAAGAAGTTAATATATTGTAGGAATTATTCATTCTTGAAGTTAGTTCATCTTTCTGCATCCAGCCTAAAGCATGCTTCTTAAACTTCTTTCTTCAAATTGAATGTGTTTATTTCTGTTATTCTCAATGGGAAAGAATTAAGAAGTTAGTATATTGTAGGAATTATTCATTCTTGAAGTTAGTTCATCTTTCTGCATCCAGCCTAAAGCATTAACCATAATTTGCCATAGTATCAGAACATTCGAGCCAGAAAGGACATCAGAAGTCCCTTCTGACTTTAGAGCTGAGAAAACAGAGATTCTAAGGTTATTTACTTGACAAAGGTCATCTAGTTATTGAATTAGTAATATCCAGATCTCCTGATTTCCAAGCCAGTGCTATTTAGAGGATTTTGGCTTTGAATAATACATCAGTTACAAAGTATTCTCCTCCCTTTGAACTATTTATATTTTCTTGTGTTGATCTAATGTGATCATGAAGACCATTTTTTATAACACAGAAATTGGAACATATGAGCTTATAATTGAGCATAGTGTTTCAAATAGGGAATGCCCATAAAATTTGTGACACATGATCATCACCATCAATATGAGTGGTATTGATAATAACAAAGTCATCTTTTTACTTATAGGAGTTGAGGATACAGATGCTAATCCTGGTTAAATCTCATCTGAAATTAGAAATATTCTAATAGATAAGACACACAGATTTCTTTTATAGGCCCTCAGACATCTTAAAGGTCATATTCTTCATGGCCAAGCCTTAGTGGTTGGAGAGGTTCTCAGGAAGTAGCTACCATGGCTGTTCCCTCAGTTCTATGGTCAGAAGGACTTCCATTAAACTCTCCTTACCATTATTACTCCCAGCTTCAGCCAACTTGGTCTATTGTGGGCAAGCCATGGATAGGGAGACAGAACAGGGAAAAAATAGCACACCTATCCAGGGTAGCAGGGACTATTTTTCCTGGTTCCTCATTCTTCTTGCTGTCCATGTGTAAGCATGAGACCATAAGCTTCTCTGTTTGGTGGAATAGAAGTTGTCCTCATTACTTTCCAATGTATGCAAGTCTTTTTGTCTTCTTCCCACTTCATGCAGTGTGATATAATGGAAAACAGAGCGTGGCATTTTGCAAGATAAATCTGGGTTCAAATACCAGCTCTACCACTCACTAACAATGATTGTAAGCAAGTCTTAGTGTTCATCTGGAAAATGGATCTGATAATACAAACTACCTTTAATGTTATCACAAATAAATAAAAGCTCTACCACTCACTAACAATGATTGTAAGCAAGTCTTAGTATTCATCTGGAAAATGGATCTGATAATACAAACTACCTTTAATGTTATCACAAATAAATAAAATTATGACTGTCATAAAATAAACAGTAAATGAATGTATGTTACCACATACCTCCTCCTACCTTTATTGTTCCAGGTCTTCCTTTGGATCTGAATCTGCGAGAGTTTTGATTGGAGGTTTACTAAGTTGCTTAAAAATTGCTCAGAGTTGTTAAGCTAATTTTAAACACTGTCTTGAGCAGCATAGTGGTTTAGGGTACAGCTCTGGAAGCAAGACCTCCTGGGTTCAAATCCTGGGCTAACCACTTACTAATTCTGTGACCTTGGACAGGTCACCTAATCTTGACTATACCTTAGTTATGACGATATAATACACTCTATAGGTTTGTTATGAGGATTAATTAATTTAATCCTTTTAGAATAGTATGTAATAAATTGTAAACACTTCTCTGTATTACCCATCATCATCATCATTATTATTACTCTGAACAACACATTTCTTTCCTCTCTTTGTTTCATTTTTTCCCTATTCTCTCTCCTCATCTTGGCTCAGGTAAAGAGTAGAAAAACTCAAAAATGTTTGAACTTTAAAATGTTAATTTTTAATTACACTTTCCAACTCAATCCCAGCTTCTCCAGGCGGGTGTGTGGCTATGTCTACTGGAAAGTTTCTTGGAAAGTGGGAGGTGAAGGACTGCAGAAGCTTCAGAGCACTTTCAATTTGCAAGAAAATAAGTGGACCCCTTGAGCCTGAAGAAGCAGCCCCCAAGCCTGATGGCCTCTGTCCTGCAGGCTGGCATAGTTTCCCCTCAGGTCTTTCCTGTTATAAGGTAAAGTAACATTCTCATCCAATCCTTCAATGAAGTTATTTTTCTACTATCCTAGTTCATGTCCTTGTACAAATTATGCTGCTCCCCATAGGCATATATAACCAAAACTAAAGTGCTTGGGAGTACAGCGTCCTTGGAAGGGTACCATTGAACTTCTGGTGTCAGGCGGCCCAGCCCCACACCCTGCATGTGTCCCGCCTGAAAGAACAGGACCAAAGCCAGAACTGGCTTTCCCAGGGTTCTTTTTTTCTGGGAAGTTGGGTGAGCTGCATGCCATTCTGACACTGTACTTATGATTCTCACATTCCTCTAATTATTATCATCAAATTAAGAGTTCCATCACTTCTTATAATGTAAAAAATTTTATTTTGGGGTTTGTATCAGTTAGCTAGTCACACAAACCATTAGATATCACCCCAAACTACAGTGGCTATGACAACAAATATTTAGTCTCATGCTCACAGATCTCCAGGTCAGCTAGGGTTTGACTGATCTAGTTTGACTTGAATGAGCAGCTCTGCTTTCAACTGCAGGTCAGGTATGCTGGGCTCAGGCTGTCACCCTGGGGTCTATTGCCCTTCCATTTAGGACATAGACTGAGGCTGAAGCAGCCAATGGTGGCTTGTTTTTCTCATGGGAAATCACTGGAGCCCCAAAAGACAGGCCCAACCACATAAGCACATTTTGAGCCTCTGCTCACTTGACTTCCACTAGTATTCCATTGATCACAACAAGTCACATGGCTACCCCCCAGGTAAGGTACTGGGACGTGTACTCCACCCAACAGGAGGCAATAGCAAGAACATGTAGTTATATTATGGGGAATTGAGGAATTAGGACCAGTAATTCAACCTACCATAGTGTCAGCTTTTCCTCCTGCTCCTTCCCTTCTTCCTCCTCTTTTTTTGAAATAACTGTGGTTTCTTTGGCCTAAAATTAGTCATCAAAAACCAGTGGCAGGTTTTGTTTTGCCAACTTCAATCAATGTTTGCACACCAGTACAGACTGCTCTTTGATTCTTCTTCATCAGAAAATAGTCCTATTCTTGTGCAGGTCTGTGGCTCATATTCAAAATTATGTTTTTAGCACATTTCTTTGCAGAAGTCTACTCCCAAAGCACTTATATGTATCTTTTACAGCCTTGCCTATTAGTTCATTCTATCTTTCAAGGTTCTAGGAATGCAGGAGAACATGGTATCTTATTGGAGCAGTTCTCCAGCCTGGCTGAGAAAGGCCATCCATCTGACAACAGTGGCTGGCACCTGTGCTGGCCTCTAGCTGACACTTTCTGCAGGACCTGTCTCTGTCTCAGTATTTGTGCATTTGCCCATGCCTTCATTAAACCTATAAGTATCCATTTCAGGGGCCTACACATTTGACTATAATTGACTTTAAAACTATATAAACTTTATGATTATACCAGAAAACAAATTACCATAATATTTTGTTAAGGTATTCCATGTAGAAAGAATCGTGAGAAAGAGGAACTGGGAAGAAGCTGAAAGGTTCTGCCAAGCACTGGGAGCTCATCTTCCTAGCTTCAGTCATGCAGATGAAATAAAGGAATTCATCTACTTTTTAATGGACCAGTTCAGGTACTACTTTTAGAATGAGAGCTTCTGTGCTGAATTTGATGTTCTCTAGGTATTCAAAATTGATGTGTTTTAGTATTTAAAAGTTCCTTCAGTGCTTAGCAGTCATGCAACATCAAGCAGTCTTATGTGCAAGATACTCTGAGGGATTCAAAGATGAGTGATACATAGGCCCCACCCTTTGTGTAGTAAAGTCCAATAGTGGGGATGAGAAAAGTATGGTGAAAGATCTAGAACATAAGTTAGGAAGGGCCTTGGGAATTCAGAGGAAGGAGGACGTGTTTCTGGGAAGTATAATCAAGGAAAATGTCATGAAGGGGGCTGGTGCTTAGAAGGTAGGTAACATTTTGAAAGGTAAGATAGACGAAGGAGCCAGAGAAAATAGAACATAAGCAAATGTACTGAGACCAGAATGTAGAAATATGAGCAAGGAAAAATAATTTATATATAACTTATCTGGAAAATAGGCTTTGGATATGGAATTAGAATGTTCTTGCTTGCCATGGAAGGAGTTTGATTTTAGGTCAATAAGAAAGAAACAAACAAAAAAAGTTTGTGTACCTACATACATAAGGGGGCAGAGGGAGGTCAGTAGGTAAATGCAGGGCAACTGATTAGAAAGCTATTACAGTTGCCCTGGTGGAAACCTACACTGAGGAAGGGCAGTAAGAATGGGAAAATAGGAAGTGATCAAAGATGTTACAGATGTTATGGCCATTGTGATTTTGATGTTGGGGTGGAAGGAGGCTTCCTGGATGATTTTCCTGATGTTCTTAAGGACTATGTGGAGAAATATGGGCCAGATGATACTATCAGAAAAATTTCTCTGAAGCTTTGGGACAGACATAGATAGCAGGGAGTTTGTAGATATTGGTGGGAATCAATTAATGAAAAACATTGGAAGGCTGGCTGGTTAGCTCACTTGGGAGAGTGTGGTGCTGATAACACCAAGGTCAAGGGTTCAGATCCCCACACCAGCCAGCCACCAAAACCAAAAAAAAAAAAACCATTGGAATATCACATGTGATAGAAATGACCATTAAGAACATCTATATACAGAATGGATTACACTAGGAAACAAAACTAACATGAGAGGTCATTAATGAACTTTTCTTGATTTGTTTCTTTGTTTCTGATCAGACTTGTTGAGCATCCTCATTAACAAATTAATACAAGTTAATTATGTAAAATTTGGAAAATATTAAAAAAGGTAATGAAAATAAAAATCACCTCAGATCCCAAGCTTCCAGTTATGAGCATAGTTAACATTTAGTGTAAAACATTTCCATTTTCTTCCATTTCTATGCAAAAGTTTTTACAAAATTTACTTTCTGCAGAATGTACTATGTTTCATTCTTTTATAATCATGAGAAAAAACAGAGAAAAAGTAAATCTTCATAATCTTTTCCTTCATAGGAACCGTATTTTATTTTTATTCTTATCCCAGCAGCTAACACAGTGCCATATTAAGCAGACTGTGTTGTCTGCTTGGTAAGTGCTCCATTAATAAAGAGATTGTTTGCCTGTGCTGTACTTAGAGAAAGAATGTATTCTAAATCCAAAATTGTAACTAGGACTTAAAGGGAAAAAAGAAAGCAAACCCATTTATTTTAGAAAATGATTCCAAAGCTAACTCCTTGAACACCTTAGCTTTTTATTGCAGGAGGTGACCTTTCTCAGCAAGATGTCTATTGCCAAAATTGTGTATTGCATGCCAAGGAGTTGTCAGATTACTGCTGTACTTTTCACAATCTGAGTTCCGCAGCTCTATTTGTATTTCAGAGAAAGGGATTCATGCTGCATCATTAAGGCTCTAAAATCTTTGCAACTCTTAATGGCAGCCCAACAGGGAAAGCCATTGTAGAGCAAAAATAGTCATGGGATTAGAGAAGAAAGCCTTGTTTGCAATGCCATTGCTGCTGTGTACACTACCTCCTGTGATGTGGCATGAATGGATTTAGACATAAATCTGAGGCTTTGCAGACTAAACACCCTCATCAAATAGTATTTATTGGGGGTTATGGCTGAGATACTTGTTTTCCTTAACAACCAGATCCAGCAGGAAACTTGAGAATATAAATTTTAACACAATTACACATATTAACCTTTTATGCAATGTCTTCTTAACCTAATAGCCTTAAAACCATACAGGTATACTAAGTGTTTGGAATGGAAGAAATTTATATAGAGAGAGAATTTCAGTTTGACTTAATTCCTCAGTTATGATCAGATGCATTTTTTCCCTCAAATTTTCTGCATCTACATTGGAGGTGTGCAATGATTAATGTGAATTCCAATTTCTTCTTCCCTTTTTCTGTCTACAGCTAAATGAGGTAAAATAGGAATAAGTTACAATTCAGGAAATATTTTCTACCCTTAACCACAAAAACAAACAAAATACACACACACACACACACACACACAAAGTAGCCTACTGTTTCCTGTGTTTATGACACACTAGTGGAATCCCTTGAAGTGAAGCTGAAAACTATAAATTTCTGGGTTGAAATGAAGTTCAGTCTCAGAAAGTAGAGGAGATTAGAAATTTTGGACAATTGGGTATGCTCTTTTTTCTGGAAAACTGTTCTGTGAGATGCAGCGAAGAAGCCAGAAATGAGCTTGAAGGCAGAGAAGTTTCTAAGTGGAAGGAGGGAACACAATTGGCTGAGAGAAGACTAGGAAGGAGCTTGAGGAGCCTTGAAGGGTTGGGGACAGACCTCTACAAAGGCTGCCAGGGGTAGCCTATTAAATCCAGGTGACAAATGATCTTTGATCATCTTCCTAGTTGTACTGTTGATTGTGTAAAGAAGATAAAATATCTAATGCTTATTTTAGAGAAGCACAAAATTCTACACAAATTCCCCAGGCACAAATATATAACGTGCAAAGATTTGGGAGAAATGAAGGTATATCCCTAAGTAAACACGAGGAAGGAGATTTAACCTTCATTTTAAACAAATGGCTTTAATTATGCTTTATCTGGCAATTATCTAGACTCTGGGGTTTAGAAAATCAACATTTCATCCATTTGGAAGCCTGTAAGAAAGCTCTGATTAGTTGAAGACACAAACTACAAATTCCTCTTAAAGCTACTAAGTTTAAAGTGGACTTAATCGTCTCTACTGGATTTTATCTTAAATCCACAAATTAGTGATCTTTCTCTAGAAAGAAAACAATGTAACAATAAAAACCAAAAGAGGACAGTCCTTATATTCCATTGTAATAAGTTGAAACACTTGAGTTTGAAAAGTTCTTATTGATATTAAAATATGAGGAAATGTTGGACAAAGGAAAGAGATAAAAGCAATTATTTTATTAAAACGTGAGAAATTAATTTAAAATTAAGTTTGCTCCAGCCTTTGATTCACTAGTAAATTTTGTAAAAATGCAGACATTATATTTTCCAGTAGTCTTGTAGCTGTACATTCCACTTATTCCATATTTTCTACTGAGCTTGAGAGTAGGGATTATTTTTAGCTTTGGATCCTACACCTTCTCTAATATGTAATATACTTATATATGTGTACTACGTATTCATATATACTTTATGTATACGCATAGTCACATGTGCTGAGTATACATACCATGTGCTAACAGAAGATTAAATTATATGGAATATAATTGGTCTACTTATTAGGGCCTAAAAAGTGTAGTAAATTTTAGGTAGTATTTTCAAGTGGAGTTAAAGGCAGAGAAAATTTTTAATGGTTATATCTTTTCTATTTATGCTGGATATATATTCCTGGCTAGACCATAAGTTTATTTGAGGGGAAGGAATCACATGAACTTATGTTCCTTTCTCCATATGTTTGTATATATATTCTTGAATGCCTATCCTTTTTCCTCTTGGCCAATCTGATTACTGGCGCTTGGTAAACACTCAGATTATAACTAAAAAAAAAATGTTAGCTATTCTTCGAAGACTGTCTTTTGTCCTACCCACCTCACGGGTGTTTCCTCACTTCCTGCAGTCCACAATGACCTCTCCTTTCTCTGGATGTTTATAGTGCTTAAACTTTTACAACTCATTTGATAGCTTTCATAAGTGATATTATCATATTTTCTTCGTTTGTATACATCTTATTTCCCTGACTATTTTACATTCCATTTGAGAGTAGATATTAGGTCTTGTACTTTGTATCATCACTGTCCTTAGCTAAATGTACATAAGATGTACATAAAATATAATACTGATGAGTGTTACATATAATCACTTAAGTGATTACTTAATTATATTTCTCTGGTGTATTTCCTTGGCATTTGGAAAAAACTCAAATACTTGTTTACATTAAACTTTTAAGTCCTGTTTAATAAAAATTTAGCTAAATGGTTTGTTCTGCATTTTAAAGAAAAGTAATTTGATAGTGTTATAAACAAACACTATATGGAAATGCATTGTCGTATTTGACTATATCTGAAAACATTGTCTAAGACGGAAGCACTGCAGTAAAAATTTTAGAGTAATAATTTTTCCTTCTTAAAGTTCAAAGCAGAATAGTTTTTGCCTTTCATATGAAGAAAACAACTTGAAATTTAATTTTAAAGAGTATGGTGCTTTTCGATAGCTATCCCATTATTAAAGGTTTAAGTTTCACATCAAAAGATTTCTTTATATAGGTTGAGCTGTGCTTTTCAGTTAGTAACAAGATCTTCTGAATAAATGTACATGTCTGAAGCACTTTAGACATGTGATTGCTAAATATTTTTGCCAAATATTCTCAAATTTTTAAACATTTCCTTCATATATAGTGACCAGCGTTGGCTGTGGATAGGTTTGAATAAAAGGAGCCCAGATTTACAAGGATCCTGGCAATGGAGTGATCGTACACCTGTAAGTTAAAACTTCCTTATCTGGGGTTACATACAAGGAGTGTTTGTTTCAACAACAAGTAAGTTAATTATTAAATAATACATCCACACCTAAAATGCATATGAAACCATGAAAGACCCTGAATAGCCAAAGCAATCTTGGTAAAAAAGAATGAAGCTGGAGGCATCACACTACCTGACTTCAAAATATACTACAAAGCTAGAGTAACCAAAATATCATGGTACTGGCATAAAAAGAGACATGCAGGCCAGTGGAACAGAATAGAGTCCAGAAATAAATCCACACGTTTACAGCCAACTGATTTTTTTTTTCCCTTTTTGTCTTTTTTCGTGACCGGTAACGGGATCGCAACCCTCGGTGTCGCGCCCTTACCGCGACCAGCAACGGGATCGCAACCCTCGGTGTCGCGCCCGCACCACTCTCAGCCAGTGAGCAGACCGGTGTCTATATGGGATCCGAACCCTCGGCGGGAGTGCCACCGCGCTCCCAAGCGCCGCACTCTACTGAGTGCGCCAACGGGCCGGCCCAACAGCCAACTGATTTTTGACAAAGGTGCCAAGAATATGCAATGGGGAAAGGACAGCCTCTTCAATAAATAGTGCTGGGAAAACTGGATATCCAAATACAGAGGAATGAAATTAGACCCTTGTCTCATACCATATACAAAAATCAACTCAAAATAGATTTTAGACTTAAATGTAAGACCCCAAACTATGAAACTACTAGAAGAAAACATAAGGGGAAAGCTCCATGATGTTGGTCTGGGCAATGATTTTTTGGATATGACCCCAAAAGCATAGGTAACAAAAGCAAAAATAGGCAAATGGGATTACATCAAACAAACGAGAAAGCTTCTGCACAGCAAAGGAAACAACAGAGTGAAGAGACAGCCTACAGAATAGGAGAAAATATTTGCAAACTATACATCTGATAGGGGTTAGTATCCAAAATATATAAGGAACTCAAATAACTCTATGTATAGAAAGAAAACAACCTAATTTAAAAAATAGACAAAGGACTTGAATGGACATTTCTCAAAAGAAGACATACAAATAGCCAACAGATATATGAAAAAATACTCAACATCACTAATCATCATGGAATTGCAAATTAAAACCACAATGAGATATCACCTCACACCTGTTGAATGGCTATTATTGAAAAGACAAAAGATAAGTGTTGCTGAGGATGTGGAGAAAAGAGAAACCTTGCACGCTGTTGGTGGGAATGTAAATTAGTACAGCCATTATGGAAAATATGAGGACTGTATGGAGGTCTCTCAAAAAATTAAAAATAGAACTACCACATGATCCAGCAACCCCACTACTGGATATCCAAAGGAAATGAAATTTGTAAGTCGAAGAGATATCTGCACTCCCATGTTTATTGCAGCACTATCTACAATAGCCCAGATATGGAACCTAAGTGTTCATCAACAGATGGATGGATAAAGAAAACGCAGTGTTTGTGTGTGTGTGTGTGTAAAATGGAATACTGTTCAGGTATAAAAAAGGAAATTCTGCCATTTGTGACAACATGGATGAACCTGGAGAACATTATGTTGAGTGAAATAAGCCAGACACAGAAAGACAAATACTGCTTGATGTCACTCATATGCAGAACCTAAAAAAGTTGATATTACAGAACTCGAGAGTAGAATGGTCATTACGAGGGGCTGAGGGGTTTGGAGGGTGTGGTGGGGAGATGTTAGTCAAAGGGCACAAAATTTCATTTAGATAGGGGGAATAGGTTCAAGAGATCTATTGTACAACATGGTGACTGTAGTTAATAACAGTATAGTTGTATTCTTGAAAAATGCTGAGAGTAGATGTTAAGTGTTCTCACCACAAAAATAATAACTATGTGAGGTGACCCATATGTAAATTCACTAGATTTAGTCATTCCACAATGTATATATACTTCATAACATCATGTTTTACACAATAAATACAATTTTATCTGTCAATTTAAAAAAATAAAATAATAAAAATATATCCACATACCACACGACCATAAAAATTGCATAGATGTGTCTTTATTGACATGGAAATAGATTCACATACTTGAAGTGGGGTAAAACAAATTACTAATCTTATTTTTATTTTTAAAAAATCCATATGTGTAGCCTCTGTATCATCAAAAAAAATATATAGATATAATAGTCATCTTTGGGTAGTACAAGTTATTATTTTTTTTCAAAGCATATTTTTTGTACTGTTTTTACTTCTTTTTTAATAATGAGAAGCTTTTATTTTTATTATATAAAAATATAAGTTATGTAAAAAAGAAAGTATCTTTATTGGAGGAAAAAATTTGGGGGAAACTTACAAAAAACCTTTAAATAGTATTTCAAATGTTATATTATCATAAGAGAAGTTTTATTTACCACTTATAGGAGCAAAATTATTCTTAAATATTAAATATTTGCTCCACATTACTATTGTGTGAATTCATTTTGTATTCTTTCTAAATGTGAAATTCCTTGATTTTTATTTTTAAATTGGAACATATCTCAGATTAGTTCATCAAATAAGTAGCATTTCAACACATGCATAACAAAGTGTTTTGCAAGTTCTTAATCCTCTATGACAAAAGCAGTGAACTTACTACACCAATAACCTCCACTTCTGAAACTGTAGCTTCCTGTGTTTAGAAACTTATGACTTATGACATTTTCTGAGTCCTGTCATGATTTAGCATCCTGATATAAAAAAATATGAAAAAGTTTTCTTTCTGTGTCAGATGAACATGCTTGAGTTATTAAAGCTGCCTAAATTACATCTAAATTGCAAATATTTATACATCAGTCTTAAATTCTCAAGCCTCTTTTCTTTTCAGGTGTCTACTATTATCATGGAAAATGAATTTCAGCAGGATTATGACATCAGAGATTGTGCTGCTGTCAAGGTCAGTACAATGCTGGAAAATCAGCATCATGTCCAGGCAGTAGGTCCATGGAGTGCCTTTTGTGTGGGTCACATGATGCTTTAGGTGTGATGGGAGATAAGTACCCCTATGGCCTGGACCTCAAGAAGCCTGACTTGCACTTAATTTGAGAAGATAAAAGACAGCTGTCATTACTATGCAGTAAAAAGCACCAAATGAGTTGTCTGAGGAGAGCTAATGAAACTCAGAAGAGGAGTGATCCCTGCAGCCTCTTTCCACAAAGAGATGAGACTTGAACTGGGTCTCTTAAGGATGGATAGAGTTTGTGCAGGCAGGGCAGGGTGAGGCTTTCTAACAGGGGAATGTATGAGAAGGTGGCATAAAATAAGGAGGGAGTGCTACAAGATGGTAAGGCAGTGAAGAGACAAAAACATTAAGAAGCTTTAATCAGTGCTGTGGTTGAAAACAATGTTGGGAAATTAGATTAATGCTAACATAAGGAGTTTGTACATTTTTAGATAGGCAACAGGGCATTTTAAAAAGGTTCTGAGTAGGGAGGGTGATATGAAGCAAGGAGTGTGTGAGGAAAATTCACCTTGAGACAGATTTCAACGTGCAACAGATAGAATTAGAAGACCAGTTGTGCATCTTCCTTTGCAGAATTCACTCGTTTATCCATTTCATAAACACTATGGTGTTGGGAAGATAGAATAATTTAATCAGGTTCCCCTCGCCTCAGGGCCAGTTGAGGGTGGTTCAGTAAACAAATTGTGTGTGTGTGTGGCGGGGGAGTTGGTGCTCATGCGCGCTGCCTTGGCTTTGCTGGCGACTGCCTTGGGCGGCTACCGCCCCACACAAGTAGCCATGCCTTTCCAACCTGCGGCTTCCAAGGATCTGTTTGCTGGTTACCTAGCTCATAGACCTGTGAGTAAGGGGTCTGGTGACCCAGCCCTAGCTTGACAATCAGCCCAGTCAGTGAAGGATTACCAACAGGTAAAAAGAGCCCGACAACTGGCATAGTTGAGTAGCTTTACAATTGGTGTCATGAACAGGATTAAGAGCATTACAATTGGCTATGTCGGCAGGATTCTGACATTAGCCTAGCTTGACCGTACGTGCAAGGGGTTCTGTGAGGCATTGGGGGATCTAACAATGACAGGGTGCAAAACACAGCCTTTGTCTTTACAGAACTTACAGTCTAGTAAGAAAGACGAGTAAACAAGCAATCACAATACTGTCAGGTAAGGGCTATAACAGACAAAATACAGACAAAACACAGCCTTTGTCTTTACAGAACTTACAGTCTAGTAAGAAATAAAGACGAGTAAACAAGCAATCACAATACTGTCAGGTAAGGGCTATAACAGACAAAATACAGTTTTATGCAACAAGGGTATTATGAGAGAATTATAATAATGTTGGTGATGATGTTGGTGATGGCAGCAGCTGACACTCACTGACTCCTTTGTGAGCCATGCACTGTGCTAGGCATGTCATATGTATTATTTCACTTAATACTTACGCAACCAGGTAAGGTAGCTACTGTTACTATATTCATCTTAAAGAGAAAGAAATTTGAGCTTGAGTAACTTACCCAAGGTTCCATGGCTACTAAAATTTAAACCCATGTGTATCTAGGTCCAGTACTCTTTAACCACTATGCTAGATGACTCATCATTTATAAAAATAGAGGGGCACTGGTTTATGGAGAAAATGGTATCTTTTAGTTTAGATATTTTGAATCCAAGCTAGCTGTTAGATGTATCGTATAGTAAGTTGAAATAGACTGAAGTTAAAGGGAAAATATATATATTTAAGAAAAAGCAAAGGGTCAAGAAATTGATTTCGGGGAACTGCCAACATTTAAAGTGACAGAAGATGAGGAAGAAAGAGATATCTATGTAATAATATCTTTGCTTCATAGCCCAAGAAAGAGATTCAAGGAGGTGGTTGACCAGAAACTTTACAGGAAGGTTGAGGCAAATAAGAACTTAGAAAGACATCAGAAAGCACTATTTTCAACATAACTTTTCTAGTAATAAACTGTATAGTATCATGTCATTTTTTTATAGAATTTCTAATTTAACACATGAAAAGGTAAAAATTTCAGAGAAGTTTATGAAATTTTCAGGAGTGTCAAGAATACTGGCATAGTAAACTGTTCTATTTGAAGAGAGTCCCCACATGTGAAGAGGCTTGAAAATCCAAACACACAAAAAGAGAGGGGGTGGGGAGTGAGATACTGATGCAGCCTACATCAGGGACAAGCCCAGCCAGGGCAGTGTTCTGTAAGGACAGTCTTGCCTCACCTGACACAGTACCCACCAGAACCTTGGCCTTAAGAGAAAATAGTCCAGAAGCGATGGATGCTGCTCCTAGGTCAAAGCTTCCCCTTTCCTATCTCTCCTACTTGCTGGCTGGAATTTGTAGTGGGCTGTCTTGGACCACGTGGAGGACAAAACGGTAGAAATGGTAGAGCAACCCAAAGAAGGAGCCTGGACCCCTGGTGCTGGACTTTCATGTCATCTGATCTGCCTTGAACACAGCCTGGTTCTCAGATACCACTAAAATAAATATTCTTTTCCTAGCTTGGTCTCTCCCAACTTTTAAAAGTGTAAGATTCTATAATTTCATGTCAACAAAAACAAGGAGAAAAAAGATAATAATTTGCATTTTGGACATAAACATGACCTTACAATATATTTCTTTTTATCAGCTCCTTTGAAGGCTCTTGTGTAGGCTATTACTGTTCAAACATTTCATTCATTCATTTGTTCATTTATTAAACGAATATCTGAGGTGCTAGAGCTAAAATAGAGGTCAAGGCCATAGGGCTTATAGTTCAGTGTTTCATAAGGGCTGTATCAACTTCAAAATATTCTGCAATTCTTTTTCTCCTATAGGTCATTCATAGGCCATGGCGAAGAGGCTGGCATTACCATGATGACAGAGAATTTACTTATATGAGGCCTTTTGCTTGTGATACAAAACTTGAATGGGTATGCCAGATTCCAAAAGGTATTTGGTAAATACTATTTTTCGCAACCTTCTCATGTTAACATTGTGAATGCTGAACTAAAAGTACCTAAGAGAGAGTTTTAGTCTATAATTAAAATTTTTAAAAGCCAATAAAGATGCAGTTAATATATTAAGCCCCCCCCCGCCTGACTTCCACTCCTAGTAGAAGGCTAGCATATTGAAATTTGATAATACCTTACTCTTTGATCATTTAATTTACATACAAGACAAAATTTAAGGCTTACGTGGGGGAATAAGATTTTGGAATGAAAAATTACTAAGTAAAAGTAGAGATGTAGTAGAGAAAATCATTTAAATTTTTATTTTGATGCAAAACCAAGAGCAAAATGAAAACAATTTTTGGAATAACGAGTGAAGAAATCAAAATTTGGCAGGTCTGTATAAAATTTAGAAACAGTTTTCAATGGACTCCAGAACTGCTAACGCTTTATATAAATTCAAATTCAGGAAACCAGCTAGGTGGATAGCACAGCCTTCAATGACAAAAAGAGAAGAGAAAAGAAATACATATTCATTTACTTAGCTTTTTACTTGGAAAATGCTAAGAAAACTGTTAAGAAGATTTTAATCCCCAAATTATTTTAGACTGATATTGGATATTTTAATTAGAGGAAAATACACAGAAAGTCCTAAAATGAATTTCTGAACTGAATGTATACAGATCATTAAAACTAAAGGTATGTCCTCCTATAAGTTCTCAAAGAATCCAAAATTTACATCATGGAACTGCCTAGTAGGAAATAGTTATTTTTCCTAAAAAAGGCCACCATATTGCGTTTAAAACAGCTTCCATCAGATGTGACATCAGGTACAATACCTGAGAGTCTCATTCATAAAGGCAAACTGTCAAGCCATTCGTAAAAGTGTGCGTGTGCATGTGTTGATGAGTTTTTCTAAAGGAGAAATTATGCCTGAGTTTTTCCTGATTATTTGATTAAACCTGAAAAATGGGAAAAAGAAAACCAGTTTGGATATCCTTTAAAGAAGTGGAAAGTAATTCATGTATATAATTAATTTGGACAATGCCTGTGGTTTGCAGCAGTAGTGTGACCCTTTGACTCTTTGGCATTTGGTGGCATGCCACAGAAAATGTCATTGCTCCTTCCAAGGTGCCCTCATTAGTAGCTGGTACTCCTGCCTCCTGTTGAGTGGTGGGGCAGACCCAAGAATTTAGACAAGGACAACTTTAGAAATGACAGAGCAGTAACCACAGGAAATAGAACAAAGAGCACATAGTTTTCTTTTTTCCTTTTTTTAAAATTTTAAACAAAACAGAGGGAATTAACAGATTTAGCAATTAACCAAACAAATAAATCTTCTAAATAATTGCACCCTGCTCTTCCCATGCAGAAACAAAGTAAAAAATTAAACACTCCCTGTCTCAGCCTATTCCCAATCATTTGAAATAATTAGTGATTGCTTGATCTGAGGTTTGAATGCTATGTTAACTCACCTTTGACAGTACCTAAATTTCTGAGTTATAATGTGTCACCTTCACCCAGTTGGATATTTTCTTTATTATCAGAGCAGCCAAAGTCTATTCAACTTGCGTTAATCTGTATTTTCTAGTCTTCATAAACAAGTTTTCCTCTTTGGTAGTATAAATCACCATGATCTTCTCTGGTTTTTGCCTTTTTATTACCAGGTTCTAATTAGTCCTATCTTCCCTAAAAAGGGTATTTCGACAACCTATAAGTTGTAAGTTGCCTAGCCACAATGGGTATATATACTTTTTAATTGACAAAACTGTGTCAAAAATGAGGCTTACAAAAATGTTTTTAGGAAAATTACCTATAATGCCACTACCGAAACACAAGTATTTTGATTGTATTTCTTCATACCTCATACACACAAACATACTGGTAATCTTGTGTAAAAAATACCTTGCATTCTGTTTTTCTCACTAATTTAAAGACATTTAATGGTTAGACGTAGCTCTTCCCAACACACAAATGATCAGAAGTTTTTGACAAAATTACAGACAAGAAACTATGTACATTTTTAACTGACTTGTGGCATCGTTGATGGAAATTATCTGATATGAAGAGAACTGGCTCAGAGAGGGAAATCAAAGATGCTGGATACATAGGCAGTCCTCTGAATAGGGTCTTCTAATACCTTAGCCTCCAGTACCAAAACAAAATTAAGAACAGCTATTTCACCCTGGATTTCTAAGATTAACCAAATTATATCTTCGACTTGAAACTATTGTGACCTATAGCCAGATCGAAAAGGGGGAGGAAAGCAACTAGGATCCTGTGAGAAACTGCTCTGCACCTGACAGTGTGCTAGGTGCTTCCTCAGGGGTGATCACATGTGATTGTCACACTCTCTTTGTGTGTTAAGTAGTAGAGACTCATTTTTATAGAGTAGAAAATTGAGATTTAGGGAGTTAAGCAACTCATCCAAAGTACCACACAGAAAGTGCACAAGGGCATTTGGACACTGACCCACCCAACTTCAAAGCTCGTAATTCTGTGTAACATACTGTATTTCTTCTGTTTCCATCTAGGAATCCTGGGTGATTTTTATTATTTTCCTCTCAGTTTTATCTTGACTTCTGAAAAGATCCAAAACTAGATCATTGTACATTGTTTCCAAGGGTATCTTGGGAGACAATAAACTCTTAACAACCCAGGTATACAGAACAGTTACTCAAATCTCATTAGATGAAGAAGTGATTGCTGAATCCTCTCATTCTGCAATGATGATTATCTTGGTGCATATGCTTTAGTGCCTCTCTATGATGTATACAGTATTGTCCTTTACTTATTCTTGCTTTCTAATTATTAGCTGTATTTTATCCATCTAGTCTTCCTTTGTGACTTCCGTGGTATAAGGTAAGGAACTGCTAGTAATACCGAGGATTCTTCAAAAAGTTCATAGAAGGATTCATATTATCTTTTAATTCCATTCTTCCATGAATTTTTGAAGTACCCTTATAGTTTACTAACATTTAGCATATCTGCCTTTTTGATTGCTACTAATGTGGCTTTAGCATAGGCCCCACAAAATTCAACTCAGGTGATCATAACTTGAAATAAAATAGTTTGGCCAGAAATGGACGAACCCCAGCAATACTGCAAGTCCTTTTGAGCTACATTAGAGGCTTTGCCTATGCCATGATCTGTAATTGAGTACTACACTTAAGCCACCTGCTTTCTTCCTTATACAGGCCACACTCCAGAGACACCAGACTGGTATAATCCAGGTGAGTTGAGAAAACAGAAATTTAGCCAAAGCTGCTTTTACCTTTTCAATAGTGTATTTAGCGAATTATTTACATGCCAGCTTCTTCTTTCTCATATCTTTAAGTGAAAAAATAAGTTATCTTCAGGCAGGGAACCTGAGTGGCTGGTGTGCAGTGAGGCCAGATTTTTCCTTCTCTGTGAGTGTCGGAGAGTGGCAGAGGCACTGGCCCAGGAATTCTTAGTTTGCTGCTGTCAGCACTGCCCAGACAGGGAGAGCCAGTAATCTAAATGGATTACTATTTATAAGTAGTTCTGGACATTAACCTGGGCATAGAGGGTACAGTTTGGTTTGCACAGTTGTGACTCTGATTTTCTTCTTCCTCTTTAGAGCGTGCTGGAATTCATGGACCTCCGGTTGTAATTGAAGGAAGTGAATATTGGTTTGTTGCTGATCCTCACTTAAACTACGAAGAAGCCGTCCTGTACTGTGCTAGCAATCACAGCTTTCTTGCTACTATAACATCTTACACAGGACTAAAAGCCATCAAAAACAAAATAGCAAATGTAATTTAAAAGAATGAACTTAAATATATTTATTATTTTTATTTTTATCCTACTAAAAAGTATTTCAAAAGTAAATGTTCCTCTAACATAAGATATGCCTTACAAAACCCAAATTAGTTGTTTCATGTTAGAAAAGTTACATAGAATTGCTTAATGTTTTAAAATATACAGGATTAATAGTAAATATCAATTTGTAAGTTGAGCATCAGCAAATAATATAAATGATCCTAATTCCTTGTCACTTTTTTACTAAAAGTAACTTGAGTTTCTGTTTCTACTAATAAGTAACTTTGCAAATAGCTCTTGGGGAGAAAAAGAATTTGTATATTTTTAAATTTATAATTAATTACAATAGGACACTGTATGCCCAAGTAATGTATTAATTCAATTAATGTATACACATAATTACAGCAACCGTTGCTTTTATACTCAAAATAGGGCCTGCCTGTGAATATGCAAAAAGTTTTCAAACTACTTTTTTGGTGAAAGGTCCTGGTTTATGTGATTTTAAGACCAAAGTAATGGGGAATGTCTGGATGGTTTGTTGGTTTGTGGTTATAGTAAGACAGAATATTTAAATCAAAACTCTCTTAGGAAACTCAGCTCATATAAGAATGGATGTTTGGTTTGTTTTTCAGATATCTGGTGAGGAACAGAAGTGGTGGGTGAGAACTAGTGAGCAGCCAATAGATCGTCATTTTACATTGTATGTGACATCATTGATTCTGCCTTTGTAAAGTTATCACTTAAAAGAAACAGTCCCAGTTTCCCTTTTGCTAAATGCATTACTACATATAAGTAGTTTTGAACATTAATCTATAAACTGCCTTGGTTAGAGAAACCAAGTCCTTTTTGCATGTTGGTGTCAAGAAAAAACTGGTATATAATAATGGCGTTAACATCAAAGTTAAAATAACAGTAAAAAACATACTAAAACATCTAATTACATTATGAGTTTTCACATCTCTCATTTTCTTTCAGTTCACGACATCCATGGCGCCACTTTACTATGACATTTGGAGAGGAATGCTCGTACATGTCTGCCAAGACTTGGCTTATGGGTAAAGCTAATTCCAAATCCTTTAATGTCGATTATGTAATATGTGAACTTCAGGTCCAATTACTAGTTTACTCTTGTTTTCCTTTTGATTCTATGTTTAGTAGCTTCATCTTATTGTTAATGACAATAGTTCAAATTCCAAATGCAAATAAAGGTGCTTTTCACTGTGAATATTTTAACTTCCTTTTTCCTAAGGTAGTTACTTAAAAATAAACTTACCACTTTCATAATTGATAAGCTTATAGACAAATTTACAAAGATAAACAGGCGGGAGTTCTAAAATATAGTTTAGGTCCCTTTCCCCCTCACTAAACTTCCCCTTCAACTCTCTTCCTACTTCCTGCCATCACTTTTTGGTTATGCCAAATGTGTGCTTTTTTAATTGGCAATATTAGTATGCTATAACCTATTGATATGAATAATAATAGAAGACAGAAATGGCTAGAGAAGAAAGGCTATATATTTTAATCATTTGGGAAAGATTGATTTAGAGAGCCTTTCTTTATTACTGGATTGTTGTTAAAATGTGCTGAATGAAAAATTCTCATCATAGTAATTCTTCTTTTCATTTCTCAGACTTAAGCAAACCAGCAGACTGTAGTACCAAGTTGCCTTTCATCTGTGAAAAATATAACGTATCTCCGTTAGAGAAATATAGCCCAGATTCTGCAGCTAAAGTACAATGTTCTGGGTATTGGATTCCTTTTCAGAATAAGGTAAAAAGAGTATTGCTACATTGTATAAGCAATAATTGCTTTCATGCTGGTTGTATGGCCTATGGCAGAACGACAGCCCATCAGACAACTTACACTGATAGCCTCTGCAGATTTCAGTATCCCACCTTATCCTCTAGGTTGCCAGAAACTATGGGTGATAGCAAGGATTACCTCTCAAGTTAGTCATGCCTACAGGTCTTTCAAAGTGCAGCATTTCTGTTCTGTTGCTACTAACACTTAAATTGATGAAGGTGATCTGTCAATGAATAGCAATTCATTGAATAGTCATGACAATCTCTATGGTGTTTTCTTTTCCTTCTCAAGGAGAGCATCCAAGCAGCATCTGCCAATCAAATTAGACCAGCATTTTTCAAACTACTTTTCGGGACTACACGTATGCTACAAAATGTTAATCACCGATTTTGCCTACAAATGGGGTTTAATGATTAAATAGATTTGGAAAATGCTGCATTCTATTATTTGCCTCTTTGAGATGCATAATACAGATTGGCATATGTATCTGTTAGGAAATGCATTTGGCTGCTCAAAAGAGATTGCTGCAGTATGTTAAAACTTTTATTCTTTCACAGAAAAGATTTTTAAAGATAAGCAGGTTGGGTTGCTGTGGAAGCTCCATGAAGTCTTCAGAATCTGGCTCCTTTTGGTTCTGCTCCTCCATCCTTAATACAAAGCTTCCAGGCTCACATTCAGGGTCTTCTCTCAAGGGTCTTTTCTAGATGCCACCCAATAACGTTGCCTACATCTCATTGGCCATCCGAGTCTGTAAGAAGGCTGAAAAATATTTTGGTAGGATGTTTCAAAGAACATAATTTGGGAAATATTGCTGTACACTATAGTAATCAGTAATATCAAAAAGAAAAGGAAGAGATATGTCTGACAGCTTGAATCATCTGTAGTAAAGTCAGGAGTACATTTTGACTTTTAAAAATTAGGACAATTTTTTTACTTCCCCAGGATACTGGACTATGCTTATTTGCATAGTTGATATATATTTGAATTAAAATATCCTACCAAGACAAAGAGAGATGATTTCTTCTAAAATGTGTTTCTTGATGTAAGAAGGTTATCATTAAGAGCATAGACTTTGAAATCAGATGGAGCAGAATCTAAATGCTAAGGCCAGCCCATGGCTCACTTGGGAGGTTCAGGTCCCTATATAGGGATGGCCGGTTGGCTCACTTTGGAGAGCGTGGTGCTGACAACACCAAGTCAAGGGTTAAGATCCCCTTACCGGTCATCTTTTTTTTTAAAAAAAAACAAAAAAGAATCTAAATGCTGACCTTACCACTATTGTGTGGCTGTTTTTTTGATTTTTTGTTTTTCTTATTGTAACATAGTTGATCGTATATATCTCTGGGATACAGAGATGAATATCAGCACTGTAATATGTGATGCTCAAGTCAGATTATTATATCCAACAGTATACAATGTCATTGTTTTTCACGGCCTTTTACCAATTCCTCCCTCCCCCCACCCCCCTTTCCCACTTCTGGTAACCTCAGCTCTCCTTTTGAAAGTTCAATGCATTATTGTGATTGTTGTATCTTTATATATACATAAGGCAGTTCTATCTGTAGTTGTTGGAGGAATCACCATACTGTTTTCCATAATGGCTGCACCAGTTTACAGACCCACTAACAGTGTAGGAGGCTCCCCTTTCTCTGCATCCTCACCAGCATTTGTTGTTCTCTGTCTTTTTGATAATAGCTAGTCTAACTGGGGTGAGATATCTTAATGTGGGGCCGGCCCGGTGGCACACTGCTACAGTGCGCCGCTTGGGAGTGCGGTGGCTCGAGGGTTCGGATCCCACATACAGACCGGTTCCCGCTCACTGGCTGAGCGAGGTGTGGGGGCAACACCGAGGGTTGCGATCCCGTTGCCGGTCCCGGTCCGGTACAGGCGCGACACTGAGGGTTGCGATCCGTTGCCGGACACGAAAAAAGACAAAAAGGAAAAAAAAAATTAGAAATGAAAAAGGAGACATAACAACCGATACTACAGAAATACAAAGAATCATTAGAGACTATTATGACAACTATATGCCAACAAATTTGAAAACCCAAAGGAAATGGATAAGTTTCTGGACACATACAAACTACCAAGACTGAACCCAGAAGAAACAGAAAACCTGAACAGACAAATAACAGGCAAAGAGACTGAAGTAGTAATCAGCAGTCTCCCAACAAAGAGAAGCCTAGGGCTAGATGGCTTTGCTGCTGAATTCTACCAAACTTTTAAAGAGGAATTAATACCAATTCTCTACAAATTATTCCAAAAAATTGAAACAGAGTCCATTCTCCCAAACTCATTCTTTGTGGCTGTTTTACTTATAGGTCAAGTTACTTAACTTCTCTGTGCCTCAGTTTTCCCATTTGTTCTGAGAATTAAATGAAAATACTGTGCAAACTGCTTAGTACATAGGAAGCATTCATTAAGTGGGAGATTAAATATGTATATTATATATATAAAATAGTTTGAAGGCCACTGTTCAGTTATTAAAATTGAGAGTATAAACCTGAATTCTCATGGTACTACTTCGTAAATTTTTATATCTCACAGACTGAGAATTAGCATCCCTCTAAAAGATGAGGCATTCTCTTCCTATGTGGGCTTTCCCATGTCTGGAATCTAATGCTTTATATGTGTCTTTGTTTTCAGTGTTTTCTAAAGATCAAATCCAGGTCTCTTCCATTTTCTCAAGCAAGTGATATTTGTCACTCCTATGGTGGCACCCTTCCTTCAGTGTTGAGCCAGAGTGAACAAGGTACTGGAATTGTTTGGGAAATAGTTTGTATTCTGATCTCTGGACCAAGTTAGTTTTGGGAGGCTGTGGGGAATTAACACACACAAATAATCTTATTAAACTAGTTTTTTACAGATCAGGTAAAAGACTATCTTGATAGATAAGCAAAAGGTATTCATTGACATTTTTAGTGTGTCTTTAGTCTGAATAAGTCAAATGCTTTTTAAAAATCTCTTTGTAACAGATTTTATCACATCCTTGCTCCCGGATATGGAAGCTACTTTATGGATTGGTTTGCACTGGACTGCCTATGGAAGGATGAACAAATGGACAGATAACAGAGAGCTGGTATACACCAACTTTCACCCATTATTGGTTGGCCGGAGGCTGAGAATACCAGCAAATGTAAGTTTTTTTAAATCAGTAATCTATATAGCTCTGTGAAATAAGTCTTCCTTAAGTTATTGGATTAAGAAGAAGGGCCTATTGTATGATTTCATTTATACTAAATGTCCAGAATAGGCAAGTCTATAAAGATAGAAAGTAGATTAGTGGTTGCTAGAGGTTAAGAAGGATGGAAAGATTGGGGATAATGGCTAAAGTGTATTGGGTTTCTTTACGTGGTGGTGAAAACGTTCTGAAATTGTTTGGGTTAATGGTTGCACAACTCTGAATACACTAAAAACTATTCAATGTATATTTTAAATGGTATTAAATATGAATTATAGCTGAATAAAGCTGTTACAATAACAACACTTTCTTCCCCAACCTTCATGGATGCTCTAGTTTTTCAAAGTAGCATAAGATATCATAGCACTTATTTTACAACCATGCAAAACCATCAAGTAGTAAGTTGTAAATAGAAGCAAATATAAATGTTTACATAACATTTTGGGAGTTTGGGCTCTCAGCCTCAGTCTCCTGGGGCAAAAAATACAAAATTGGTGATTGGTTATCATTTTTCCCAAAGAGCTAAATGAAAAGAAGCCATGGAAGGGAACAGGGCGTTATATTGACAATAGTTAGGCTGATATGATACTGCTGCCCACTGCTTCTGTCCTCACCACTTTCTGGATGCAGACCACCTTTTGCACGAAGGGAAAAGATTGAAAAATTAACATGAAAGGCGAATTCCAAAAATATGTCCTACAAAATAATGAACTAATGTTCCTGACACAATGCTGCTTTGCTCAAGGTTGATGTAGGTGGCAAAGGGAACTCTGAATCATGTGTAACTGTGTACAGAGTAAATGTCAAAATAATACTTGGTTACTGTAGAAAATGTGGAAGTTATAGAAGAGTAAGTACCGCAGAGGTAAATGTCAACCCTCATCCCACCTAAACTTAGGTCAGTGGCTTTTATACCTTTAACCCTAATCCATAGTAAGAATACATTTAAATCACCATCTAATACATAGATAAAGATATAATATTGAATTGAATTGAAACAGAAGTTTCAGAAAGTAATACTAATGCTTAGAGATTATGCACACTGATATTTTCATTCTATTCTATTTCATTCCATTCCTTTCTTATCCTATTCTTTTTTGTCTAATACTTTTCTATTCTACCCTATCCTATTCTGTTCTATTTCATTATCACAAATATTAGCCAGGATCCACTGAATTGATTTCATGACCTACTAAATGAGTCTCAAACCATTTGAGCCCTGATCTAAGGAATCACAATGAGCGAACAGTGATTTCAGCATCTTTTCATCTAGAGCTTTTCCATACATTGTTTCCTTGACATAGATAGGATCATAGTGTATATACTGTTGTACTCTAGTTTTCTCACTTAATATTGTGCCATAGTTTCTCATGCCATTAAAAGATCTACTTGATAAGTATTTTAATGGTTGCATAATATTTCTTGATTAATATGCCATTATTTACCTAAACAGTGTTGATTATTGGGTTGTTTCCAGTTTTGCACAATCATAATAGTGCTGCAGTGAACATCTTTGTGCATAATAGAATTAGTTATCCTTTATTATGTGCCCTTAAAAAATATTTTTAGCTATTCTTGTCCATTCTTCCAGAAAAACTGTAGAATTATTTATTCAATTTCGAACAACAATAATTAAATAAGTAAGCTCCTGATGAGAATTTGACTATATTTTAGGGAAAATTGATGTCTTTTCCCTATTAGGCCTATTGATATGTTGTATAATTCATTAATAGATGTTATATTAAGCCATTTTTATATTTGTGTCATAAAATCTGGTTGCTCAGAGTGAACTATTATTTTACTATTCTACTGAATTAGATTTGTTAGAATTTTATTTGGGAGTGTTTTCATTTCTGTTCGTAGGGTTAATTTTGTATGGTGTATTGTCAGATTATTTCTTCTGATCATGTTGGCTTTATAAGATGAGCTGGGCAGCTTTCTGTCTTTTCTGTGTTCTGAAATTATGACAGCCTGGAGGATTACCTTTTCATGAAAATTTGGAGGAACTACCTACAAAGTATTAGAACCCTTTTTAGATATCACTCTTTGATGATAAAGGGATTGGCTGTGGTAGTTGAGGGCCTAAGCTGTAGAGTCAGATTCCCAATTCTAATTCAGCTGTTTACTGTGACTTTTGGAGTTTGCTTTTCTTAAGCCTCAATTTCTCATCTGTAAATTCTGATCCTGTTGTACGTACCTCATAGGGTCAATGTGGAGATTACATACAATAATTCATTTAAAGCTTCAAGCGAAGTACCTGACACATAGTTTTTAAAGCTTAGCTATTATTATTAATTTTCAATTTCTTACAAAGTTACTAGTACATTTTTGTGTTTCTGTGTTTCCTTATGACAGTTATGCTAATTGATATTTTTTAAGAAGCTGTCTATTTCATTTAGATTTTCAAATGTGTGGTATTTTTTAAATCTCCATGTCTTATTTTGATTGTTTTTACTTTTTCTTATTTAATTTTTTTTCAAAAACAGGTGCATGTTATTGGTTGTGTTCTCTCTTCTCCATCCTCTACTCCTATGGCTTGGCCAATATTTATGAATACTACTTGTACATTTTTCTATCTTATTTTTCTTGGAGTTATGTTTTTGTTCATTTTCTAATCTTCTATATTGAATTCTGTTTTTCTTTTAAAAAAGAGAATATGTTTAATAATACACATTTGCCTCCATACAAAATTTTACCTGTATCCCTTTCTTTGATATTTCTCATTTTATTCTTTCCTATAATTATTTATTTCATTTTTGATTTAATATTTATCAAGTAGCATTTTTGTTTTATCTGTAGCTCTTGGGATAAGCTTACTTTGCTTACTTTTCTAAGTGTTACATATTTCAAACATACAGAAGAATACTCATATGGGGACAATATGCTTTGAATAAATTTTCATGTTTAATATTATTGATTTATGGTCAGAGAATGAAATCTAGATACTTTTACCTTAATATATGTAGGTTTTTATAGTGACTCCTATAGGATCAGAGCTTTGAGGTATATTTTCTGTTATGTGGTACACAGTCATTACAAAAAGTTTATAAACGAGCCGGCCCGGTGGCGCACTGGAGAGTGCGCCGCTTGGGAGCACGGCAGTGCTCCCGCCGAGGGTTCAGATCCCATGTGGAGACTGGTTCCCGCTCACTGGCTGAGCGTGGTGCGGGCGCAACACCGAGGGCTGCGATCCCGTTGCTGGTCCCCGGTACGGGCACGACACCAAGGGTTGCGATCCCGTTACCGGTCAGTAAAAAAGACAAAAAGGGGGAAAAAAAAAGAGTTTATAAACATCTGATGAGTTAATAATCATTACATTTTTGCTTACTTGAACTGTCAAGACTGATAGAGTGTTAGATATTACGATAGTTGTTCTTGTCATATTTCTAACAGTTTATCTGTTTAGAAGATGTATTTATCAATATTGCCACTGTTTTGTTTTTTAATTTTTAAAGTTAATTGCTCTTTTCCTAGGCTTTGGAAGTTTATCGGGATTTTCTCAGAAATTTCATGGTCAGTTTCCTTATGGGATTTTTTTACAGGGGGAAAATCCAATCTGGAATCTTGAATTTTCTTATTAGGATCTTCAGACTGTTAGTTTCATAATTGCTTATACATATTTGCCTTTTTGTTTAGCTTTTTGAGGAAGAGTCCCACTACCACTGTGCTCTAATACTCAACCTCCGAAATTCACCTTTTACCGGGACATGGAATTTTACTTCTTGCAGTGAATACCACTACGTATCTCTCTGTCAGAAATATTCAGGTATCAATTATTATGTAGACAACTATGATACTTTATGCTGTAATATATATGCAGTTCGTTTTTATAAAAATCTTATAAATGGATTCGTACTAATTTATAATCATATAGCTTAAACTTTTAGCGTGGCTAAACCTGTAGTTCAGTGAGTCAGATTATCTCAAATGGAATGTGGTTTTTTTCAAGTATCACTGCCATACTTAATTACATATAAAAATTTAGAATCTGACGGAATATGTTAATAGTGCTGTTGAATGATAGTTATGGTTGAATTTTGTTATCCTTTCTACTCTGGCACTTTTTAGACTATTTTTTATCATGGGGAAAGAGAAGAAAAAATATTTTTAGTTAAATACAATGTAAACATTCACTGTTAAATTTAGCACAAAAGAAAGATATGAAACATCATAAATGGATCACTGTCTATGCTTTCCTACGATTCAGAAAGTAAAATGCACACTTATAAATAGGAATCATCCATATCTTGAGAAAGATATTTCTTAAAAAGGTATTACATTGTTTTTATTGACCAAAATGAGTTTTTAAAAAATGTTTAAGAAAAAATTTTGTCATGTAATGAGGACCTTAATTGGACATTTCATGTACTAGAGCAAAACATTTTTGCTAAATTAATCTTTACCCACTTGTCCCACACTTTTTAGTGACTACATTCAGAGAAGTACTGTAAAGCAATAATGCAAATACATCCTCTTGTGGGTGGTTTTGTACTTTTTTTCGTGGTAGCTTTCCCAGATGAAAACTTTGTAAGGGTACACAATACCTTGTTGAAGCTGTTCTAATAGAAGAGGTATCTGGCACCAACATGAAACGGTGATCTTATTGCAGGCTACATCTATTCACAGCTTTTCTCTTTCCGAAATCAGATCAACTAAACAGAATTTTGTTCTGATTTTAGAAGACAAATGTTGCAGCTCACACATTTTACCTAAAGTGTACACAGGAAGACATTCCTGATTCTCCCACCCCGAATCTAAAATAAATAAATAGGTAAATAATATCTAAAGTAGACTAGTATGGGGATAAATTTGAAAAAATGTCCCATGACTTACAGAGTGGAAGGTGTTTGCTTTTGCTTTTGTTTTCTTTTACACACAGAAATTAAAGGCACACAGACCTTGCAGAATACTTCAGAAACCATAAAGTATCTAAATAACCTGTACAAAATAATCCCGAAGAATCTGACTTGGCACGAAGCCCTAAGGGAGTGTCTGAAGGATGACATGCACCTGGTGAGCATCACGGACCCTTACCAACAGGCATTCCTCACCGTGCAGGCAGCCCTCTGGAACTCTCCTTTGTGGATTGGACTCTCCAGTCAGGATGTAAGTTCTCAGCCCCAACCGCTAGGACTGGGTGATGGAATGTGACATTTTTTATTGTACATAATGTGTCTTGTATCAGACTAAAAGAAACCAGAGGTCTTAATATCTTACTCCAGTAAATTTCATGGAATATGTGGGTTTTAGTGGCAGTTATCTTTCCACTATTGAAAGAGCTAGAACTTCACTGTTTTAAGTGAATAAAAGGTTCTAGTGGGCATGTATACTTGAGCCCTTCTTTTTATTTATTCTTATCAAAGACTGAGCTAAAATGGGAGTTGCCATATCTCTTTAGCCAAAGAAAAGATGAGAAGAAGGGAAGAATTTAAAAATCAGATGGGTTTGGGCATGTGGAAGCATGGCGGATGGTGTTGAAGAGTCTTTTCATCACTTTAAAAATCAGCAGAGTGTAACAAGCTACTCTAAAAAAGGATTAGAATCACGTCATATCTCAAATCCTGATCTTGGATAGAGGTCTCATGTACATCTCATTCATTTCATAGCCCAGCAAAGAAGGCTGGTTTCCTATTAATGCCCGACACTAACCTATGTATAGGTAGCACAGACAGGAATAGTTACTCCATGGAAGCTTTTGGCTTAATTAAATGGGGTGTTTTTCTTTTTCTTTCTTTTTTTTTTTTTGATGAAGCTGTCATATTCTTCTTGGCGTTATAGGCCATTTTTGCCTCTTTTCTCAGCCATGGTATACCCCAGTATGCCAAGATGGGTCCAGCGCTGTATGGAGAAAATGTGGTTGAAGACAATTTAGTCCTAGCACAATCCCAGAATTGAACTAGAGAATGGTTTAAAAAAACAGAAATGTAACTAAAAGCTCAATTAAAAGTAGCATCTAGAAATGGTGTGAAGAATAGTCTCTCTGAGCCTCTGGGTATTCTAAAATTTACCCCCAGATCAAGCCAGGTGATCAAGCGAGCTGCTTACCCAACCCTCACAGTGTCAGTCCCTTCACAGCATTGCTGGTGCTGATTTCTCTTTGGTGTTTGAGAGTCTGTGAAACCCATAGTTACATCTATTGTGAGGGTCGTAAAAGTTATTACATTCCCTAGTTCCGATCGCCTTAAATCAAAAGCAATATTTACTGTAGAAGATTTGTAAGGTATAGTAAATTAAAAAGAAGAAAATTACAGTCACCTGTAATCCCATCTCCTAAAGATAAATGTGATTTAATATTTTGATATATATCCTTCCAGTTGTTTTTCTTTTCTTTTCTTTTTTTTTTTTTTTTGGCAGCTTGCCAGTACTGGGATCCAAACCCTTGACCTTGGTGTTACAACACTGCCCTCTAATCAGCTGAGCTAACCTGCCAGCTCCCTTCATGTTATTTTTCTATGTACACATATTTGGTTTTAAGACAATTGGGGTCATACTGTTTTATAATTCTTCCCCTCTACTTAGTGATTTTAATGGTTTTGTATATTATCCTATTTTCAATCTTCACTATGGTTCTTTTTCTTTTCCCCTTTAATGTTAGCATATATCTGTCACTGTTTATTATGTATCTTCATAAGCTGTCTTAAATCTTCGAAACATGGCAGGATATTAATAAATAACACTTCAAGTTGAAAGCAGTGAGAGGTGTTAGAAGATTTTAGACAGTAGTAACAATATAAGATTTTTATTTAAGTCAAATGACAGTGGGTGGAGAGTGGGGGAGGAAGCGAGCAGTGTGGAGAGAGGGAGAATTTGAATTTTTTATACAAAAAATTTATTTTTGTATAAATTCAAGTAGGAAATGATGTTAGCCTGAACCAAGGCATGTTTACAATATTCTGGGTTACATAAAGCCCAAGATGTGGCCATGGCAGTGGGTCGGTCAAGTATATAGAAGAGAAAGTACATAGAATTATAGGAAGTCAAGAAGGCTTGGGAACTGGGTGAGTCATTCACATAAACACAAATGCCCCTAGGTCAGTGGTAGAGCCAGGAGGACAGAGTGAGGCTTGTGACATCTTGTTAGTGAGTGTCAGGGAGAGGAAAGGATTCTGAGAGTCCACAGTGGTAAGAAGGGCATAGACCGCAAAAGAAATGACTAAAAGGGATAAAAATACTTACTACCTGCCCCCACCATCATATCCCTGTGGTATCCAAGAATGGAAGAACAGACAGCCTTCCCTTGTGGGTGCTGAAAAAAGATGACTTTCTTGGAAAAGCCAGAGTTAAATTAATTAAGGTCAGGAATTTAGTAAAGAGATATTTATAGTCTTATTAAAGAGATTTCATATTCAGTAAAGAGATGGAAGGTGTGGGATGACTTATCTACCATGGAATGGAAGTTCAAAGGCCCAGGGACAGGCTGGGGGGAAGCTCAGCAAAGGAGGATTCCAGAGTGAGGTATGAATGCAGGCAAATCACATTGCCACAGGACTACATTTGAGGCAACAGTGGTTTAGGGATTAACCAGCCCAAGGTTACAACCGGAATTCTGATCGAGAACATTTCAGAATGCAGCAGCAGGTAGTGTTGAGGCTTGAGTGTGTTTGCTGTTTATGGTTCACTGAGGAGGCTATGTGTGGCCTTTGCTCAGTATTCCAAATAAACTAGCAATGCAAATTGCCTTGGGCCTCAGGAAAGCTTAGCTCCATTGCCTGGTTTAGTCCAGCATTGGTATGTAAGGCCTGGAGCTCTGGCAGCACCATGGGAGAGCTCAGACAGGCCTTTATCCCAAAATCCACCCGCTAGACTTCTGTGCCTACTCCATAGAGCCTATCTCAAGACAGGTGGATGGTCAGGCCCTGGTGATGTGTAAAGACACATGTTCACAGACTTCTAGAGCACAATAGAATATAGTGAATGAGTAAGCTTCTCCCCAAAGACAAGTGGAAACAGGCCTCCTCCACAGGCCTGAGGAGTTAAGAAGAAGGGAACTAACATTTATGTAGAAAGCTTTGTGTGCCAGCTAGCCCCTGGGTTATGTGTTTTACAGTTGTTACCCCATTAATTCCAGCCCTATGAAGTTAATTGTCTACCCATTTAATAGATGAGGGCTGGAAACTTGGAGCAATAGCCTCACAAATCAAAAGCTTGTAAGTAACTGAAGCAGGATTCAAAACCAACTATGCTTAACTCCAAAGTTCTTTCCACTATGCCACATTGTCTCTGATTTAATCCGTGCTTGCAGTGGTCCTCACTTCATTTTACCATTCTGATTTCCAGCCATTTGGAAAATGGTTACGATTATATGTAATGGTCAGGACATAGACTCCAGGGACCGACGGCCTGGATTAGAGTCCCAGCACTGCAGTTTATATTCTGTATGACTTTGCACAAGTTACATACTTCTTTTCCCTCATCTGTAAAATGTACCTCACTCATAAGGTTGTTATGAGGATTAAATGTCAATATTTGAAAAGTGCACAGAACAATGCCTAGCACATAGTAGGTACTATGTAAGTGTGGGTTAAATATAAAATAAAATTTAAAGATCATTAGATTGACCTTGAGGGTCAATATAATACAAAAGGGATAAAGTGAATATTGCTACTTGAAATGTATTTCTGTTCCTTGCAGGATGAACTCAACTTTGGTTGGTCAGATGGGAAACGTCTTCATTTTAGTCGCTGGGCTGAAAATAACCAGCAACTTGATGACTGTGTAGTATTAGACACTGATGGATTCTGGAAAACAGCTGATTGCAGTGATAACCAACTGGGTGCTATTTGCTACTATCCAGGAAGTATGTGAATTTCAAATATTTTAATTCTTAAATTATCATCAGTCTTAGGAATAGTAGAATTTCTTGGGAGTGGTTTTGTAAAATCTGGTTTTGGAATTGTGAAAAAATTATAATGATGTCCTATTTACAACAGAATTTGTTGTGAAGATTTATATTCAAGTAAAATTATTATATATTAGATATTTTGTCATTAATTAGTTATTTTAGACATTTTAATCTTATTTTTATGTCAACCGGCAGTGGTGATTGACACCTTAGTTTAAGTCCCATTGTTACTCAGCCTCATTTTGCATATATTTTGTATTTATATTGGTATAGAAAACTTACATTTGTGAGAATTCTTTCATAATTCTTAACATCAGCAACTAACATGCTGCCGCTGTTAAGATTCAGTGGGTTGCAAGTAACAGTAACAAGCTCAAGGTAGCTTAAGCCTAAGGGAAATTTAGAATCCCCAAAATGAGGACGGAGCTGAGTCTCCTGGGGAATGGGAATCAGGAACCCAGAGATACTCTCTTCTACCTATCATTTCTGTTCCTCTGCGCATCTGCACTCTTCTCTTTATATGCTTTCTGTCTCTCTCTGCACATAGTGGACCATGGCAGCTCTGCGGCTTTCAGTTATAGCTATAACTGGAGAGGAATTGACAATTTCTGAATTCCACTTTTCAGATCCTTAGAGAGAATGTGATGGACTCAGCCTGAGTCAGGTATGCAAGCCCAATTAGAAGAAAGTGTTTTTACAGCAGTCAGGGGCCCACATTTGTGGGTTTGTGGTAGAAAAAAAGACACCACTTCATGGACAAAGGAATTTGTTGTGAGCTAGGAGAGAAACTGAATGGTTTCTACTACATATTAAATAGTTTGATTTATTTTGAGTAGAGCATATCTATATTCACATCTTCTTGAACACATGGCCTTTATATAAAATGAAAAAAAAAACATAATCAAATTTCCTAGATGCCAGATTTTAAACATTTCTGTTTGATTTGGTTAAAGCAATAACTTATTTAGAGTACCAAGTATTTTGTTAAAATGCTTCTTTAAAATTAGAGATACCAGTAGCCAGAAATTTGAAAATGAATTCTCAAAGTTATAATTAGGTGCCTATTATTAATATGTTCATAGAGTTTCTCTGAGATGGCCCCTTGTACTTGACATTTGGTAATGCAGGAAGACAGAAAGTGCATTTAATCTAATAGCACCTCATTTTTTACTTTCTTCCACTCCACCTCAGGGCTAAGAAAATTGTGTTAAATGATTTTCTTCCCTTAGAAAGCTGGCTTTCTATACACTATATTTTAGTACAAACAGAAAACAAGCATCACTGGCTATTACTTCTTGGCTTCCTGAATATTTCCTACAAATAAGTCTAATGACTATGAACAGGATTTAACATTTATATCTGAAATTAGAATTCATTAACTTTCTTTCTAGATGAGACTGAAAAAGAGGTCAAACCAGTTGACAGTGTTAAATGTCCATCTCCTGTTCTAAATACTCCATGGATACCATTTCAGAACAGTTGTTACAATTTTATGATAACAAAGAACAGACATATGGCAACAACACAGGATGAAGTTCACTCTAAATGCCAAAAACTGAGTAAGTATATTATACTGTCATATATGAGACTATTATATTATGCTCATTTTTTTAAAATCTCACCTGTGTTAGAAATATTTTTCTTTTTTTATTTTTATTTTTATTTTTTTATTTTTTTGGTGGCTGGCTGGTAACAGGGATTGAATCCTGGACCTTGGTGTTATCAATACCATGGTCTAACCAACTGAGCTTACTGGTTAGCCAGTATTTCTAATTAGTGCTAGTAACTAGATGTCCAAAATGTTCATCTCTGGGCCGGACCCTGGCTCACTAGGGAGAATGTGGTGCTGATAACACTAAGGCCACAGGTTCAGATCCCTATATAGGGATGGCCTGTTAGCTCACTTGGGAGAGTGTGGTGCTGACAACACCAAGTCAAGGGTAAAGATTCCCTTACCAGTCATCTTAAAAAAAAAAAAAAACTTAGAAAAGAAGCAGCTGTGATTGAAAAAATACATATTTCACACTTTCAGCTCTCAAGACTTTTTAGACAATTCCTAGGAGATCTACTGAGGATTATGACTTTTGAATGATGGAACTGATAGTACTATGAACTTTATGGAAAGCTCCTATGGAAAACATCAAGCCATTATTCCCCAAAGTGTGTTCTGTATAACACTAGTCTTGAGAGATGTACTACAAGAAAAGATGCTTAGAAAAAGAACAAGATTGAGAAACACTAAACACCATAGCCTCCTGTTGGGCGCTATCAAATGCACGAGTACATTAACATATACTAGAAGAAATACTGGCATAATAAACCAATGTTTGCAAACTTTTTATCCATGTAGACCTTTTCTGAGGAACCCCCTTGTAAATGAGGAATACCCTTTGGGAAATATTAAACTTTTTTAACCCTAATAAAATAGTGATCTCTAAGGAAAGGAAGATCTGTCTTATAGTCCATCCAAGAAGTTTTATTTATTATAGAGTAATCTTTGACAGAATATCATTAATATAGATGGATCTGTACCAACCGAAAATGAACCTTAAATGGGGGGGAAGTAAAGGGAATCAATGTTTTAAATTCTTTATTCAGCTACTAATTTTTCACTATAAGATCAAAGTTAACATGAAAATGTTTGAAAACTTCTTAACCTATTCATTTAAGTACAAGATAGTTTTCATTTAATTAATTTAGTCTTTCTGATTTTCTAATATTGTTTTAGTTTTAGGTTATATTAAACTGGAAAGTAAAATTTTCTAAATCTATCACATAAAGTGTTCTGGATAAGTAATTATTAAAATTATTGACTATTTTTTATTTAACAGATCCAAACTCACATATTCTGAGTATACGAAATGAAAAGGAGAATAACTTTGTTCTTGAGCAACTTCTATATTTCAATTACATGGCTTCATGGGTCTTATTAGGAATAACTTATGAAAGTAAGTTGTAAATCTTCCAGTTTTCTCTATTTATATTCATACTTCCTTATAACCTATTTATCAAGTTACAAAAGTATAGTTCTTCAAAGTACATGTTTATCAATACACAAAAGTATAATTATGCTCTCTGCTCTGCCGTTGCCACCTTTACCACCAAGCTTAAATGATGGAAAATCATTTACTTTCTCCAGTCTTCTTTCTAGCAAATCAAGACTAACGAAAAATGACCACACTCCCATATAAATTTCCAGTACTTACTTTATTTCTCTACTAACTATGTGGGATGAATGAGAACAGAATCACTCTTCTATTAATATTGCACCTTTGGGCCTACAGCATTGGCTTGAGGTATACATATGGTAAACATTAGGAAAATGAGACACATGGTCTGACCATGGGATAGGATATTTGAAATTTGAAGTAAATTCCACAAATCCAAAACATGATTAATATGAAATTTTTAAAAGCAGAGAGTCTAATATAGAGGAAACAAGACTAATTTAGAAAGATACTCAGAGATGTCCTGAAAATCATAGAATTTTTGGACTTAGGGAAAAATAATCTGTCTGTGGGCATAAAGCAGCAAAAGTATACATTTACCTTAATAAGGGGCACAGGAAAAGAAGCTAAATTACTCAAATCTGACCATTTTGAAAATAGGCTTCTCCTTTGCTATCAAACCTGTTTTTTTTTTTCCTTTTTGTCTTTTTTCGTGTCCGGCAACGGATCGCAACCCTCAGTGTTGCGCCCGTACCGGACCGGGACTGGCAACGGGATCACAACCCTCGGTGTTGTGTCTGTGGGCATAAAGCAGCAAAAGTATACATTTACCTTAATAAGGGGCACAGGAAAAGAAGCTAAATTACTCAAATCTGACCATTTTGAAAATAGGCTTCTCCTTTGCTATCAAACCTGTTTTTTTTTTTCCTTTTTGTCTTTTTTCGTGTCCGGCAACGGATCGCAACCCTCAGTGTCGCGCCCGTACCGGACCGGGACCGGCAACGGGATCGCAACCCTCGGCGTCGCGCCTGCACCTCGCTCAACCAGTGAGCGGGAACCGGTCTGTATGTGGGATCCGAACCCTCGGCGGGAGCGCCACCACACTCCCAAGCGGCACACTGTAGCAGTGCGCCACCGGGCCGGCCCCCAAACCTGTTTTTTACAGTTGCCAAGGTTTTCCTTAAATGTTTAGTTTGCTGGTGAGTTAATGAAAAGTAAACTATCAAGCAATAGATAAGACTTGGTTTGCCAGTTGAGGATGAGTTCATCATAGTAGAAAATAGTTGGCCCAAGTCTTTTCTTCCGTGACATTTGAGTACCCTTAAATTTAGGAGCGGAGAAAAAAATTGAAGAGAAATAAGGTGGAAAGTTCCCAGGCTTTACCTGAAAGTGACTGAAGAAACAGTGTTCTTGTATTGAACAGTGGAGACCACACCTAAGATATCGAGATTTAAATTGTACCCTCTGATGAAATGTGTAATTGTACTATCAGAAACAACTAAAAATGTATTCTGTATTCTGAAAAAGTATTTTCAAACCTGAAGACTTCTTTTTAATTTTCTTAACTTCTTTTATAAAATGTATAAATAACAATGTCTATTAAAATATACAGACATAAGAGGGACATAGAAAAATGTTTTAAGCAAACAGCAAATTTGTTTTAAATCTAATTCTTACTGGTTTATTTATTTACATCCATAAGTCACTGTTTTTAACTATTTCAGTAAACTTATAGAATGCCTAACTGTATATAGCATCTATACGAAGGATTTTGTTTTTTAAAACATTCTGACTTTTCAACAGTAGGACCATGAATTGAAATTACTAAGAGCAACCACAATATGTCAATTGAGAAATATTTCAAGCCACGTGAAAAGTGACCTGTGCTTATAGCAACTTTAGAAATATACCATTGTGTGTCATATTGGTCAGAAATTCATAATTTTAAAGTTTGGGAGAGGGACAGAGGAAGTGGGGGACATGAGGCGATATACTGCAGCAAGGAGGAACCACATCATGTGTGAGGTATTTCTAGTGTGTTGTTGCTGCAGGCAGATGATTAGGTGTATTGCCTTGGGAGATGGTACCAGTGAAAGGTAGAAAGAACCAGAACAACACTGGGTATGTGTAGGTAATGGTGGCCTTACTCTTCATACCAATTTATAATTTTAATAGACCTAGCAACTTTTTTTTCCAAAGACATTATTGAGACATATTCCCATACCATACAATTCAGACATTTGAAGTATACAAAATAACAGCTTTTAGTACAGTCACAGAGTTGTGCAACCATCACTATCTCAAAAAGAAACACCATAACCATTAGCATTTCCTCCCCTCTCCCAGCCGTTTACAGATTGCCTATTCTAGACATTTCGTATAAATGAGATACAATATGTGAATTTTTTTGTGACTGGTTTCTTCTACTTAGCATAAAGTTTTCACGGTTTAGCCATGTAGCAGGATGTCATTTCATTTTATAGCTGAATAATATTCATTTTACAGATATACCACATTTTATTTATCCATTCATTAGTTGATGGACATTTAGATTGTCTTCACATTTTTGGTTAATTATGAAAAATCCTTCTCTGAACATTCATGTACAAATTTTTGTGTGGACATATGTTTCCATTTCTCTTGGGTATACATCTGGAAGTGGAATTGCTGGGTTTTTTGTTTAGCCATTTGAAGAATTGCGAGGTTATTTTTCAAAGCATCTGTACCATTTTTTATTCCCCACCAGTGTATGAGTTCAAATTTTTCCATATCTATGCCAACATTTGTTTTTATCCATCCAACGAAGAGTAAACTATCAAGCGATAGATAAGACTTGGGTTGCCAGCAGATGATGAATTCATCATAGTAGGTCTTAGTTGGCCCAAGTCATTGAGGTTTCTGTTGCAATTCCTTGATGGCTAATGATGTTAAGCATCTTTTCATGAGCTTATTGGTTAGTTGTATATCATCTTTGAAGAAATTTCTACTCAGATGTTTTGCCCATTTTTAATTAAGTTATTTGTCTTTTTTATTGTTGAGCTGTAAGGATTTTTTATACAGGCATATTCTGGATATAAGTCCCTTGTCACGTAAATGATTTGCAAATATTTTCTCCCATCACTTTCCTGATAGCACAAAAGTTTTTAGTTATGATGAAGTCCAATTTATCTTTGTGTGTGTGCCACTTGTGCATATCTAAGAAGGCTTGCCTACCCCAGGGTCATGAAGACTTACTCCTATATTGTCTTCTAATAGTTTTATAGTTTTAGCTCTTTCATTTAGGTCTATGATCTATTTTGAGTTAACTTTTGTGTATGGTGAAAGGAAGGGGTTCAACTTCATCTTTTTGCATACGGATATTCAGTTGTCTAGCACCATTTGTTGAGACTATTCTTTCCACATTGAATTCTCTTGCACCCTTCTTAAAAATCAGTTGACCTTAAATGTGCACAATTATGAGCATTTTAGGTCCAGAGAAGAGATTTCTGTCACTAATTTTGTAATATATCAATGATTTTCTAAAATGAAATAGTTATGTTTGTTTCCACTGCAACTAAGCACATATATAAGAGAAATGAACGTTTGATGGAAAAAAACCCAAAATGTTAAGTTATTGAAGGGTGATGGAATTATAGATAAATTTTAATTATCATGTTTATAATTTGCATTTTCCAAATTAAAAATAAGCATGACCTATGATTTACTATTATAATCAGGAAATATTTTAATGGGATATACATAATCATAAACTTTTAGAAGTTGGGGAAAAGAGAAAGAAAATTAGTCAAGTTTGAAATATTAACCTTATAATTAACTCGACTTGATTTAATCTCTAAGCATAGAAAAAAAAATGTTCTTCTCTAGATGATTCTCTCATGTGGTTTGATAAGACCATGCTGGCATATACAAACTGGAGAACAGGAAGACCAACTATAAAAAATGACAAGTTTTGGGCTGGTTTGAGTACTGATGGCTTCTGGGATATTCAAACCTTTAATGTTATTGAAGAAACGCTTTATTTTCACCAGCACAGCATTCTTGCTTGTAAAATTGAAATAGGTAAGTATGCCAATGTAGAGTTTCCACTCCAGGGAAAGGGAATATAAAAGGCCATGAGCTCCACTAGTAAGAATCTTGCAGCCGTGATTTTTGAATTCAGTCCTATGTGAGGCACTGCAGAGGTTACGGAGGAAGGAAAAGACATGGTCCCTGGTGTCTGGTCTTGACCTTGAGGAGTAAAATGTAGTTGAGGAGATGGCATTAAATTCTTTATTATTGTTTTATGTAGGTTAGTCTTAGGTTCTATGGTATACAATTAAACTTGTTGGGAATTCAAAAGACATGAATGAAAACAGGAGTAACAAAATCAAGGAACGCCTTCAGGAGGATGTTAACTTTGGTTGGGCCTTGAAGGATGGATAGGATTTTTAGAAATAAGGAAGTGTGTTTGGGTAGAGTTTTAACATTCCAGACAAAATGCATGTTAGTTTTAAATTTTTCACAGCTTAAAAACTGTTACTACCCTTTTGCTGTAAGCCCTCTGCTAACACGGAGCCTAACACAATGGCATCCCAGCTGATGTCTCCCTTCATAGTGGTGCAGAGTAACTTCCTGAAGGCCACCGCCACCAGCAATATCCAGGGATTCCCTATTATCATTTACTTTGAGTCCATGTAAATGTCTGGACTTTTTAGAAATCAGTTTCTATTCCTAATTTCTAGGCCTCCTCTCAGCCCTCGTTTTTTTCCCCATTTGTGCTCAGTAAGCATCTTTTTCTCATTGAGGCTGATTTCTTTTTTTCTTTTTTTTTTTTTTGTCTTTTGTCTTTTTCCGTGTCCGGCAATGGATCGCAACCCTCAGTGTTGCCCCCGTACCGGACCGGGGACCGGCAACGGGATCGCAACCCTCGGTGTCGCTCCCGCGCCTCGCTCAGCCAGTGAGCGGGAACCGGTCTGTATGTGGGATCCGAACCCTCGGGCGGGAGCGCCACCGCGCTTCCCAAGCGGCGCACTATCCAGTGCGCCACCGGGCCGGCCGAGGCTGATTTCTTAATGGTCTCATGTATAGTATATGTCCATCCTCATATTTGCACCTTTATTTATGTTTTCTTCCTGCCAAGAATGTTTCCACTTGTTTCTTTCTTTCTTTTCTACATCTTTAATAAACTTTTCATTTTAGAATAGCTTTAGATTTACAGAAGAGTTGCAAATATAATACAGAGAGTTCCCATATATTCCATACCCCATTTCCCCTGTTGTTGACATCTTACATTAGTAAGGTACATTTGTTACAACTAATAAACCAACTGTGATACATTATTATTAACTGAAGTTCATACATTATTCAGATTTCCTTAGTTTTTGCTTAATATCCTTTTTCTGTTCTGGATTTCAATCAGGATATCACATCACGTTGAGTCATCATTTCTCCTTAGGCTCCTCTTGGCCATGACAGTTTTTCACACTTGTTTTTGATGACCTTGATGGTTTTGAAGAGCACTGGTCGTGTGTTTTGTAGAATGTACCTCAGTTTGGGTTGGCTGATGTTTTTCTCATAAATAATTGGGGTTCTGAGTTTTTTTGAGGAAGAGCACAGGTGTAAAGTGCCCTGCTCATCACATCATATGAACGGTACCAACTATTGTATTTTAACCTTGAGCACCTGGCTCAAGGTAGTGTTTGTTAGGTTTCTTTGTAAATTTCCTCTTTTCCCCCTTTTCCATATTATATACCCTTTGTAAGGAAGCCACTATTCTCAGTCTACACTTACAGAGTGGAGAGTTATTCACCTTCCTGATGAGGGAGTATATATAATTTATGTGGCATTCTGCCAGGAGATTTGTCTATTCTCTCTTATTTAAAAATTTATTGAGTCATTTATTTATACCCTCATAATTGTGGTATAAATAAATACCACAATTTATTTTAGCACTTCCATACTTCCTTTTTATTCTTAATTTCACCCAACCCTCTAGACCTAGTATAGGCTCATGGTTATTTATTTCATTATAATCTAAAATACTACATTATATAATATTTTGCTCAAATTGTTCTAGTTTGGTTATTGGGAGCTCTGCCACTTGGCTTCTATGTCCCTTTGAAATACTCTCATCATTGTGGTCTTGTTGTTGTTGTTTTTGTTTTTAGCACTTTCTTACTTTCTGGTTACATATTTATTTTTAGTCTTAATTCACTTAACCCTCCAGACCTGGTTTATGAAGTATGCTTCCTGACTCCTCTAATTCAGATGAATCTCTTCTTCTCTAGTCTGTCTCACATATCCTAGTGGTTAATAGTTTTGCCCTCATTACAGACATTGTTGATTTCTGTCTCCAACTAATATGTGAGCTCCTCAAATGAAAGACTTTGTTTATGCCTTTTTTTTTTTTTTTTTTTTTTTTTTTTTGGTTACATATTTATTTTTAGTCTTAATTCACTTAACCCTCCAGACCTGGTTTATGAAGTATGCTTCCTGACTCCTCTAATTCAGATGAATCTCTTCTTCTCTAGTCTGTCTCACATATCCTAGTGGTTAATAGTTTTGCCCTCATTACAGACATTGTTGATTTCTGTCTCCAACTAATATGTGAGCTCCTCAAATGAAAGACTTTGTTTATGCCTTTTTTTTTTTTTTTTTTTTGTCTTTTTCCGTGTCTGGCAACAGATCGCAACCCTCAGTGTTGCCCCCGTACTGGACCGGGACCGGCAACGGGATCGCAACCCTCGGTGTTGCCCCCACGCCTCGCTCAGCCAGTGAGCGGGAACCGGTCTGTATGTGGGATCCGAACCCTCGGGCGGGAGCGCCACCACGCTTCCCAAGCGGCGCACTATCCAGTGCGCCACCGGGCCGGCCCCTGTTTATGCCTTTTTTTAATCAACTAGACAACTGTAATATTTAAGAACCTATTGTATGTGCTGTGGCAATAAGAAAAATAAAGTATGCATTTGACCTCTCTTATTAATAAGAAACCTGGTTTTATGTAACTTTTGAAATGATTGCATAATATCCAAAATATGTATTTGAAGTAATTTAAATTTAATTACTAACACTTTAATTTAAATATTATAGTTGACTACAAGGAAGAATATAATACTACACTGCCACAGTTTATTCCATATGAAGATGGTATTTATAATATTATTCAAAAAACCGTAACATGGTATGAAGCTTTAAACATGTGTTCTCAAAGTGGAGGTCATTTGGCAAGTGTTCATGACCAAAATGGCCAGCTCTTTCTGGAAGATATTGTAAAACGTGATGGATATCCACTATGGGTCGGGCTGTCAAGTCATGATGTAAGTCTTGCTTTTCTTTCCAGAAATTTTCCAAATCTGTTACTTTGAGGGTTGTTGGGAGTTTGAGCGTAAAATATTAATTCAGAGTACATTATCAGATTAAATCTTGGGACTCAGTTTGTATAGCATAGTGCTTTCTTACCTTTTACAACATAGAGCAAATAGAAAATTATATTTATAGGATACACTAGGACAAATGGCCAGGCTATCCCAAGGGCCCAGTGCATTAATATCTCAACAACACCTCTGTAGCATATTTGGAGGAGACCAATTGGAAAGCTAGTGAAAAGGAAATAGCATAAAATCAGAAAAACTTGAGTTTCAATAGTAGTGGTGAGTCTTCTGTTTATGTGCAAGTAATCATGAGCAAGTTATTTAACCTTTGCAACCTTATTTCCTCATCTGTAAAATCAGGTTAATAATATTTTCATTGACGTTTTAACACAAAAATTTATATAAGGAGCGAATTAAAATTTTTAATAAAGTTAGGACTAATAGACATGTATTTTCTTCCCACTTTCCCCCTAGAAATTTGTACTACTTAAGATTAATCTTCTGGTGGACACATCTTCTGTCTCACTATTCGAATCCTATTGGCATATTTATGTATTATAATAATGTCTGGTACACAAAAAATAGTCATCTATTGAGATTAGAATTGTAGGCTTAATTTAAATAATCTTTAAAACAAAGTGGGGGGAAATAAAAGAAAAAAAGATAGCAAGTTAAGATTATAGATTCAAGGAAAAATCAAAAGTAGTATTCCCATTTTGAGTTTCTTGGGAAGTATTTTCCTTTTTTAGCCCCCCTGCTGCTTGATGGCCATCTGTAATATGAAAAATGTAGTCAGAGACACAAACCACAAAACTGTGAAACATAGAAAACAATATGCAGAACAATACGAAGGTTGGAATTGTAAATCTGTAATTATGAAAAGCAGAAGCTATTTTCTTTTTTTTTTTTTTCCTTTTTGTCTTTTTTACTGACCGGCAACGGGATCTCAACCCTCAGTGTTGCGCCTGCACCGCGCTCAGCCAGTGAGCGGGAACCAGTCTCCACATGGGATCCGAACCCTCGGCGGGAGCACTGCTGCGCTCCCAAGCGGTGCACTCTGCAGTGCGCCACCGGGCCGGCCCAGAAGCTATTTTCATGTCAATTAGTTTCGAGTTTTATGTAAACTCATTTTTTAAAGAAATAAATGTAGAGACAGAGTATAATAGCCCTGTCTCTAAGGTTAAATTCCTACTTAAATTGTGTCAGAACAAATGTCCCAAATCAATGCATCATAAGTCTAATCTCTGATTTTGCAAATAGGTCCAGACCTACAGTACTTGTAAGCAAATAAGAAAAATTGAAATGGAGTGTTACTTAAAGTACGTACGTGTTCTTTATGTTTTTTTGAACTCATACATCTGGTTTCAGGTTGTCTCTATTATTCTTAAAACAGGGAAGTGAATCAAGTTTTGAATGGTCTGATGGCAGTGAATTTGACTACATACCTTGGAAAGGCCAAAAATCTCCTGGAAATTGTGTTGCATTGTATCCCAAAGGAATTTGGAAACATGAAAAATGCAACTCTGTTAAAGATGGTGCTATTTGTTATAAACCTACGAAATGTAAGACTTGATTTTTAATAGCTGTATATTTACTAAAATATGACATAATTTATGCAGATGATTAAATACTCAATAAAAATTTTTATTTAAATAAGGTTTATCCACAAATCCTATAAAAATAATTTTAATAGTTTATCAATAGAAACAAATATATCCACTCACGGAATTTGTTCTCAAGGGCTTTCATTCTGTTATCAGGTAAACTTTACTCCAGAATTTGTGCATTCTAAATTCACTTAGCAAAGTTTTCCAAAGGCTGAGATGCTACTTTAAAAACAGTTTCCACAGAATATAAATTTGGAAATACCTTATGTGAGTTACCATATTACATATTCTGAGTTTCTATAGAAAGAAGTCTGTTTAACTTTGTGTAATCACGCATTTTCCTAACTTACGTGATCCTGAAAATCTAAGGCATCAGGGGCTGGACTTGGGGTCACCCCTGGTGGTTAGAGCATGAGCCTTGAAGAGCACAAGCCCCAGACCACACGGGGCTGCAAGGTCCGTGGGCAGCAGAGACATGGCTGCAGCATTGGTCTCTGAAGCCTCTGGTCGTCAGTGCTCACCGTGTGTTCTGCTCTGAAGAATCTCGAAGAGCAGATTCAACATTTGGAATTGATCAGATTGAGGCAGAAGAAATTGTGAAAACTTTGACTAGAGTAAAAAGTAAATACAAGAAAGGGAGAATAATGTAAAGAATGAGGAATAAAGGCACAATTAAGAACTGACTTCTCAGTTGTTAGGTACAGAAAAAAAATGTAACTTTTTAGAAGAACAGTTAGAATAAATGAGAAATATGATAAAGCATGCAGAAATGGAGAGGACATCCGTCTCAGAGAAGCAGACTTTACAGGATGAAGGAGAATGACAACATGGTCAAACATAAGTGATGTGCTATACTAGGTTGAATAGAGCTCACCAAAAACTCACGTCCACTCAAAGCCTCAGAATGTGACCTTATTTAGAAATAGAGTCTTTGTGAGTGTAATTATAGTTGTTATGAACTGAAGTTATACTGGATTAGGGTGGGCTCTAAATCCAATAATGGTGTCCTTATAGGAGGAAGACACAGACATAGAGAGAAGAAGGCTATGTGACAACAGAGGCAGACTGCGGTGACAGTCACAAGCCAAGGATTGCCAGTAACCACCAAAAGACAGGAGGGAAGCATGAAACACATTCTCCCTCAGAGCCATCAGATAGAACCAACCCTAATACCACCTTCATTTCAGACTTCCAGCCCCCAGAACTGAGAAAATAAATTTCTGTTGTTTTAAGCCACCAGTGTATGGTAATTTATTATGGCAGCCCTATAATACAAGAACCAATTTAAAAAACTGGATCTTCAGAAAAGTAGAAAATAACAAGTGTTGGTAAGACTGTGGAGAAAATGGAAACTTTTTCATTGCTTGTCGGAATATAAAACGGTGTAACCACTGTGGAAAACGGTATAGTGACTCCTCAGAAACTTAAAACATAAGATTACCATATGATTCAGCAATTCCACTTCTGTGTATATACTCAAAAGAATCGAAAGCAGGGGCTCAGATGTTTGCATAACCATGTTCATAGCAGCATAATATCCAAAAGATGGGAGCAACCCGAGTGTCCATTGACAGATGAATTGATAAGCAAAAATTGGTATATTCTGTATATATACAAAGGAATATTCAGTCTTAAAAAGGAAGGAAATTCTGACCCATACTACAGCATGGATGATCCTTGAAGACATTATGTTAAGTGAAGTAAGCCAGTCACAAAAGGACAAATATTGTATGATTTCACTTACATGAGATACCTAAGAGTTGTCAGATTCATAGGGACAGAAAATAGAATGGCGATTACCGGGAACTGGAGGTAGCAGGGTATGGGGATCTATTGTTTCATGGGAACAGAGTTTCAGTTTTGCAAGATATAAAAGTTCTGGGGATGGATAACAGTGATTGTTGCACAACAATGTAAATGTACTTAATGGTAAATTTTATGTGATGTGTATTTTACCACAATAAAAATATTGGATCTTCTTGAACAGGAATATAGCAAACTTACCACAATGCAGACCCTTGCCAGGAAAAAAAAAAAAATCACACAAGAGTTGAAAGCAAAACTTCATGAAGAAGAAAGAAAAAAATGTATGCATCATAAGGCAGCCCAGCAGCAGGCTGTACTAGAAACAAATAGACTCTGCAGATAGGGCATCTCCATCTGTTCCCAGTGCAAGAAGAATTTTAAAAATTCAGACCATTCAGAAAAGTCCACCAGTCCTAGTGATGCTGTGGCAGCCAATGTTCAACATGCTTTGCATCTAATGAAGCAACATCCGATTAAGCCCAGTGCAACAACAAGTAGTCAGCAGTATTCCTTTGGCAAGTCAACTATTTTTATAAGGTGCTAAAAGCAAGAACTTGCTAGTAACATCTCCTTCCACCAGCAGCATTAATGAGGAGTTTCAGAATTACAGATGAATTTGGCAAATGAGTTTTGATCAGCAGCAGCTGGAAAACTTATCCAGGAGTCCAGCTGTTGAAGAGAGGGAAGACTTTAGACCTCACACTGGTAGCATTAGTGGAAAGAATGGAGGCAAACACCAATCAGATATTTGTAACTAAAGTTCAAAAAGATCAAGCCTGGATTCTAACAGAAGATAGAGAAGCAGAAGAAGGAATTAAGGGCCAACAAAAAGCCTCTTGATGAGGAAGGAAATAGCAACAGTCTTCCTTGTGGAATCATAGAGACCACAAATAAGAACTCTACTAAACAGACCTGGAGAAAAAAGCAGAGCCTTCAGGTACCGAAGAACATGCAGACCACACAGCATTCATTACAGAGCAATAATTTGGGTTGAGATCACTAACTGGTATCAGGTCAGATATTTGATTCAGAATCAAATATCTACCTTGAATATAAATACCAAATATCTGCCTCACCAGTAGGATGTCGACAGTTTACCTTCCAGTTCTCCTTTGCTCTTCTGTTAGAATTAGTAACAGGGGTTAGAGGGCACAAGCTTCATGACACAGGCTTCTTATGTTACTTGGCACAATTAAAAACTAGACAACTTAAACAGCAAGTTCAAGGGTTCAAATCCCCATACTGGCCAGTCACCAAAAAAAAATCAAACAAGATAAGCGGAAACCAGGGCAGTTTATAAAGCGGAGAAGCCACATCCACTTTTTTTTTGTTTTCTAAGAGATTTGACTGCTGATAGTATTGCGTTTTGTAACACAAATTACCAGTGTTTCACTTGTGGGTGTGATTTTTTAAAATAGTTCTTTATATGTCTAGGTAAAATTAGGTTTATATTATCAAAATAAAAAGGAATACAAGGAAAGAAATAATTCTATTATTTCAGAGTAGTTTCAGGCCTACCTGGCCTCTCTTTGCTTCTTTTCCTAGTCTGAATTTCTAGTTGTTTTTACTTTAGTCTAAACCCATCTTAGAAGGCTAAGTACTTTCCTCCTCTATCATCTGAGTTTTAAAAATGGTATTCAAAAAACTAATTAGAATGTATATTTATAAAGTATTGGCTGAGGCTTTTTCTGGTGTGTGTATTGAGTTAAATGCTTCTTACCTACAAAAATGAAAGTTTCAAATAGGGACATTTAATGAGATTTTAAAAGGCAGTTTCTTTTGCCTTTGCATTGTTACAGCTGTATCTAACATTTTTATAGTTAAAGAGCTGTCCCCTCATACATACTCATCAAGATGTCCAGTGGCAAAAGGGAACGGGTCACAGTGGATCCAGTACAGGCATCACTGTTATATGTCTGACCATGCGTTGCACAGTTTCTCAGAGGCTGAACAATTGTGTCCAAAACTTGGTGAGTAAAATTGGTTGGTTTTCTTTGACTCAATAATTTGATTCTTAGAAATTGTTCTTTAGGAAATCATTTGAAATAATGGATATATTTTTGAAAGCATTTTTAAAGCACTTGCCATTTACAATAGCATTATAACCTAATTGTCTAGTGGTAGGGAACTGGTTAAGTATTTTATGATATAGGAGCTCAATGGAAGATTGGAATAGCCATTAAAAACTATCAAATGAAATTAAATAGGAAGAAATAGAAAACGTCTAAGCAGCCTGGCGTGGTGGCGTGCTCCTGTTGTCTCAGCTATTTGAGAGGCTGAGGCTTGAGGATCGCTTGAGCCCATGAAATCCCCATCTCTAAAAAAAATTAAAAATAAACAAATAAATTGCTAAGTGAACTATTAAGTGAAAAAACTGACAAGTGAATTGAAATGGTTTTAAATACAGCTAGATATGCCTCTATAAAGGGGTTAAGAGGTAGAATTTTTATAAAGTTGGCTAAGTAGTAAACAGAAAATTAAAGATTTTCCATTACTTACTTATTAATAAGTAAGCTTAGCCTGACCAAAGTAACAAAAGCAAAGAAGCACAGGTTGTTCAGCCTTTGTGCAGTAGGATTGGCCCACATCCTCTGGGCACCATAAGGGACAGGACTTTTTGTCTTCAGATTTAGCCATTTTGGCTCTCTCTCATGATATATTTAGCCTACAGTCAAACTGTAAAATGACTTCTAGGGAAGCCACCTAGGGTATTTCAAAGACCAAAGCTATTTACCTGCATCCTTGGGTAGCAATTTAGCCTGGCAGATAACCCTTATCCAATTTATTTTGCTAATTGTTGTGGAAACACTTGAATGATTAAAAAGTTTCCTAATTACTGTGTAACTGCATAATGGGAACGTTTGTGTGGGAAGTATAGTGTGTCATACATGTATACACATGAGAGAACTATTGTAAGCTATATGTATGTTCTGAAAGTCAGAAGCCTCTTCTTCCTAAATGAGAAAATAGAAAGGTTTGCAGTAAATGTAGAATGTGGGTTAAGCACTTAAGCCTTTGAGGCAGACAAGTATGGGTTTGAATCCCAGCTCCCACACTTACTAGCTAAGTGACATTGTGGAAGTTATGCAATTGTTTTTTTCTCATCTGAACAGTGAGAATGAAAACAGTACTTCAAAAGGTTAGGACAGGTTGGGTTGTTGTAGAAATGAATGAAATGTGATAATGTATGCAAATGTAGCCTAGTGCCCTGCAAATAGTAAGCTCTCAAAAGTAGTCTTATTGTTAGAAAGATTGAGATTGACTTTCTAGTTCTGTAACTGGCTAGCTGTGTAAACCTGGACAATTTACTTAATCTTCTTGAGCCTCAGTTTTCTCATCTATAAAATGGTGATAATGCCTTTGTCTAATAGGTTGTTTATAATTTTAAACATGGTAACATATAAAGCACCTGTATAATGTGGCATTCTCTAAAGGTATAAAGGCTTTCTTTTGCCCCTCTTAAAATATTCCCACCACAAAAATATTTTAGTTCAAGTATGGATGGGTTTGTTGCTGTTGAAGACTATTTGACTCCATTTGGGATTGATTTCCAAGTCTAGTTATTATTTTATTTCTATCCCTAACCTGATTCTGGTGATAACACTATTTTCTCTGTGGGTTTAGGGTTACCTACCAAACTTCAGGAATATTCACTCATTCAATTCTATACTATATTTAGAAACTTACAATAGGTATGACCAAGTACATTTATGTATAAGATATTAAAAAGAGGGCTAGTGTTCCCCAGTATCCCAAACTTATTCACTTTTACTTTCATTTTAACAGAAGCAAGTTTAAATCTGGGTTATGATACAAGATGGTTGTTAAGGAGAGAGTGCTAAAAATCTATAGAGGGACACATATTTCTACCATCAAATACCCCAGTTATTATGACTAGCTATTCAAACATAAATGTCTCACTAGTTAGGTGCTTCCAAGATCAAAAAATATCGCGAAATAAATATTTTGAAGAAACATGTACATACAAACATGTATATTCAAAGTTTCCATCTAGAAATATTCCTAACTTTTTTGGAAGCCATTAATTTTTGGAAGTTCTTTTAAAATTTTGACATAAATACTAGTTTTTAAAAACAGTCCGTGTAAAACTTAAATTTCTTAGTGAAAACTTGAATTTCTCAATAAGTTTCTGCTTCAGCCATTTGAAAAAATATCACTTCCCTAGTTTCCATAAAGCTAATTAGCTGAGAGTTTGTTTTTCTTCAACAGATCATTCTGCAACTATTGTTACCATAGAAGATGAAGATGAGAATAAATTTGTGAGCAGACTGATGAGAGAAAATAATAATATTACCATGAGAGTTTGGCTTGGATTATCTCAACATTCTGTTGGTAAGTGACACAGTAGTGTGTGCAGTATGCAAAGAGAGTCCTAATTTGTCCTAAATACCAAGTCAGCCTTGCTAAAGAATGTCAAGTGGTGGTTAATTCAAATGCTTCTTATTGATGAATAAGCTAGGTCTGCTGTCTGTTCTGAAGGCTTATAAATTTTAAATGAATACATGAGTAACTAATCAGTAATGATAGAAACCACTAAAGGAATAGAAAATCCAGTTAAATCAACTGAAATTGTTTTTGAGGCTTCTTCCTAACTAAGATCCTTGGATCAACACGAGTATTATTTTTTTCTCCTACAGCAATGTCTTTGTCAGCTGTGTCCCTCAAGGAAACCCGTGACTTACTTCCTTTAGAGTTCTGGTGTCTATCACCCCATGGTTTTGCAGCTTATAACTCTGTTATTCAGAAAGTTATCTTCTTCTCTTTCTTAGAATATTTTATCATAGATCAAAATTAACTTTTAATAGTGATTTTTTTCAAATTAGCTTAGTAAAATTGCAAAGAATTGAGTAAAAAAAATTGTGGATGAATTTTTCAATAAGGGATGATAGATATAGGGTTTGAGTGAACTTAGAATTGATGAATTAATGAATTTGATAGAATAGGAAATCTGTTTCACATTTTATACAAAGTTGAATTTTAAAGAATTGAAATAAAACATTAAGTACTCGTCAAAAAATGAATGAATTCATGTTTGGCTCATCTAAATGAATTGTAAATTGTGTTGTTACACTATCACTATCACCACACAGTGGCCAAGCTGGTACCACCTCAACTGAAAAACAAAAATGGAGTCATAGTGGGGAGACCCTCCTGGACCCTTTCTCCTCTACCAACATATCTTCATTGTTACAAGTTTTTTAAATGGGAGAGAGGAGGTACGGGTCCTTGGAAATCCATCCATCACACAATAAATGTGCAAGCGTTCTGCACTTTAATCAAAACACCACGTTCAATATCAGTGCTGTCCAATAGAACTTTCTGCAAAGATAAAAATGTTTTTTCTGACCTATCTAATATGGCAGTCACTAGCCACATGTGGCTGTTGAGCACTTGAAATGTGACTAGGGCAACTAAAACACTGATTAATTTTTTTTTCATTTTTATGAATTTCATTTTAAATAGTGGCTATCATACTGAACAGCAAAGTTCTAAGGAAATGAGTTATATGAGCCACATGCTTTTAACTTAGTAATTTAGCAGCAATAACTATAGTTGTATTTAATATCTTTCTTCAGATCAGTCTTGGAGTTGGTTAGATGGATCAAAAGTGACATTTGTCAAATGGGAAAATAAAAGTGAGAGTGATGATGGAAAATGTAGCATTTTGTTAGCTTCAAATGAAACTTGGAAAAAAGTTGAATGCTCACATGGCTATGGAAGAGTTGTCTGCAGAGTTCCTCTGGGTAAGTTCGTCACTTGTCCTTTTTTGCAGAACAGTCAGAAAATAAAACTTTTTGCAGAATAGGTCAGGAAATAAATGCACAGTCCAGTTATGTGCATAGATTTGTACTTGTTCATCAAGTATTCAGTCCTTACAGTATGTCCAAAAATCTTGATTAAGTGATAAAGATTTTTCCCCGGAAAAATACATTACCAGGCCAGTAAATGCACAAGACGTCTAGGTCTCCCAGATGAAACTATTAAACAGTCTACACTTTACATAACTTTTTTTTTTAAAGATAAATGGAGCTGTCAGATTATTTAGGGAAGCAAACTAACTTTCTGCAGTTAGTTTGCTTCCTTTCTCCCCCTTCCCATAAAATTTATGATTAATTTTAAAACAATGCAAAGCTAGATTTAATTATTAAAAGCACTCAGGGTATCTGTGGGAAATCATAATTTGAATTTTTGTTTCATCATGAATTGATACATAAAATAACAATAAAAATATGTAAACTTCATTTCTGGAGAAAGAGCTGTAAATTTTTCATAGAAACATTTTAAAAGATCTAGCATAAAAATTTCCATTGTGGTATATAAATATTAAAGATAAAACCCCAATTCTAGGTAATCAGTATCTATATATACATGCATTGATTTGGCAGATAGAGTGTCTACTTTATGTCATACCCTGTTCTACGTGCTGAGATGGACCTGTGAACAAGACAGATACGGTATCTGTTCTCACAGATCTTACAGTCTAGTGGAGGAAGACAGTTAATAAATAAGCAGGCCAATTTTTGAAAGAGAGGACAATATCAAAAAGTTATAAACTCTATGTGACCAAGAGTAGGTGGATAGCTACTCTAGATTAGGTTATCAGGGAAAATGTCTAAGAGCACGGGACACTGAAGCTAAAATCTGAAATGTCAGCCAAGCAAAGATCAGGGGAAGGGGCACAGCATGCAGAGACACCAGCTGGAACAAGGAACCTAAGGCAGAACGAGCTTGCTGAGGGCTCATGGAGGAGTTGGTAGGCAGGTGCCAGGCTATGGGGCTTTGGAAGCAGGGGTTAAGAGTTCTGGTTCTATTCTGAGTAGAATGGAAAGCAACAGGAAGATTTGTGAAGGTAGGTGGGAGCAGGGTTAGGGTGGTATAAAGCAAAGGTTCTGTTTTGGCCACTCTGAGTTGTCCATATGGAGATGAGATATCCATATGGAGATGTCTAGTATGCAGTTGGATGTGAGAGAGAAGGGAGGTCAGCAAAGAGATTGTGTTTATGGTTGAGATAGAATGAATCCATCTAGGCAGCATGCAAGAAGGGGCCTGCCATTTGAAGTTGAATAGCTAGGGACTAAATGAGGTCATCCTAAAGGCTTCAATTATTTTAAAGCAAATCTTAACTTTATTTGGCCCTAGGTAAGTCAAACACAAAAATTTACAATTTTAGTAATTTGCATCAAAGTAGGATAATATAATGGAGAGTGATATTCCCAAAAGGGTACTGGGAAAGGCAAATGAGAATAATGAAAGCACTTCAATTTCTTTGGAAGAAAATTCCTATAGTAATGAAAAGGATTTGAATGAAAAGAAAAACACTTAAGTCTTAAAAGAAAGCACTCAAATGTTTGATGATGAGTTTGAATTCTGTGTTGATGCTATGAAACAATCAGGTATTTATTGTATCTAATTTGTACAGGGCTTACTTATGTGACACAGCTTAATATATAAAATAAATAATAATGATCACTTTTGCATTCTCTCCTCCAATGTCAAACCTTGTTAGGCCCTGATTACAGAGGAATAGCTATCACATTTGCGGTGCTAAGCATCTTAGCACTCATCAGCGGGCTGATTTGGTTCCTCTTCCAAAGGAACCGTTTCCACTGGGCTGGCTTCTCATCAGTTCGGTATGAACAAGGAGTGAATGAAGATGAGATTGTGCTTCCTTCTTTCCATGACTAAATCCTTCTAAAAGTTTGCTAATTTGCACTAATGTGTTAGGAGCCACTTAACATTTTCCCAGTGTCAGTATTTACTGTGTTCTAAATTAGAAGCCTTAAGTAGTTTTTCAGTTGTTTAGTTGCTATGCCAATATCCACAATTAATTGCCCATTAAATGTCATGTTTATAAGTCTACTTATAGAATGGAGAGCACTCGAAGCTAGAACTGAAGTCCAAATTTTTTGTAGGGTATATATATATATATATATAATGTGTATACACAATAACTTTAATGTGTATTTTCTCTGTAAGAATATGACTGGTAACTAGAGTATGTACTTTAATGGCATTTTTAACAAAACTTCTTAGAAAATTTTAATGAGCATATTACTAGGTCACACATCTACCTTTTAATTTTTAAGATCCTCTGGCCAAATGCAGAATTAGTATCTCAAGGTAAAAATCCAACTGAAAATATCAACATTGTTTCAAAATAGCCATTTGTAGCATTTGGGAAAAATTATTAAGCAATGCTTACTTTTAAGTATGCTTACTTTTTATACAGCTTCTTGGTGAGATGATTCTAATACTATTCCAAAGATTCTTCATACAAATGTTATTTTTTTTTTTTATTATTATTTTTTTTTTGTCTTTTGTCTTTTTTCCGTGTCCGGCAACGGATCGCAACCCTCAGTGTTGCCCCCGTACCGGACCGGGGACCGGCAACGGGATTGCAAACCTCGGTGTTGCTCCCGCGCCTCGCTCAGCCAGTGAGCGGGAACCGGTCTGTATGTGGGATCCGAACCCTCGGACGGGAGCGCCAGCCGCACTTCCCAAGCGGCGCACTATCCAGTGCGCCACCGGGCCGGCCCACAAATGTTATTTAAATGTTTTTTTCTGTTCATAATTATTCATAGAACAATGGCTTTTAAAGATTTAGTATTTAACATTTTCTAAAGTGTAGGAACATTATTTTCAGGTTGATTAGGTACCCTGTAGCAGTGTGTATTGTCTTTTCTGAGGTACTACATATGACTGTTCCCATTTTAAAGGGGAACAGCTAGGGATAAGACTGAGAATTTTATAATTTATATACTTCGCATAGCATGTCAACTTTTGGCTAAGAATTTTATATTACTTTGTTGCCTTTTTACATGAGCTAAACAGAGAAGGGGTTTGTGAAGAAAATTGTTTGTATAACTTGTATTTGTAAAAATGAGAATTTTATATGAAACTCTAAACCTTGAGATTACTGTAAAAATATTTAAAATTATTAATGATTAAGGAAACATCATTTTGTGGTTATTGCTTTAAATTTTACCACCTAGAATATATTCTTCCTAGTATCCACTGGAGATAGTAAATCTTTTATTCAGTGTTTAACTTATGTTTGTACTTTAGAGTATTTTTGTATAAAATCCATAGATTTATTTTAAGTTTAGAGTGTGTATACTATGATAAAGTTGTAAATAATTTTCTGACAGTTTTAGTATAGTCTACAGTTGTCCTGAAATATTTTTATTGAATTTGATACACTAGTTTTTGCCCTATGATCTGTAGAGTTTTAGTCATTAAGACTTTCCTCAAAGAACTAAACCACCTTGATGTGAAAAGTACAGCTGTATATAGTGGTGATGCCATAATAAAGTTGTTTTCTCTTATCTTTTAAGTAAAAATGTTGGAGTTGATCTTTGTTGAAAAAATCTCTCTAGATTGGGCTTTATTATGTTACGCATATAGTATGATGAGAAATAAGGTATCGAGCTATTGTAAATTGAGGCATTCTTTAAGAGATTTTGTATGCATAGTCTAAAGAATAAATATAATCATTACTACACCTCTGAATGCTTGATTTTAGTCTCCTTTTCATATTCCTCTTGTTCAGTGTGTCTTTTATATATCAGGATCAGAAGGGATTCCATCTGTTTTATTTATTTCTCTTTCTTATGCTCCCCTTCGGAGATCTATCTACCCCCTCCCCTCTGAGGCATTCAATAACCATTTCCAAGCTAATAGTTCAAATACATAGTTCCAGGTCCATATTTCCAAATTCTTCTCCCCATCCACACACATGTAGCATTTTCCCACCCTTGATCCTAGGGCAAGATATTTTTATTATCTGGGAATTCTCCCCTGCAAGTGTCTGTTGTAGTCTAAGTAAACCCCAATTCCAGCCTCATTGCTGAGATTTTCTGGAGAAAGAAGTTCAGATTCCTTTATTTTATGCTTGTTTAATCCTAAAACTCTCTCAAAAAAGCAAAGAAATAATAGTTAATTACTTCAACTACTTTATCTTCTTTAAGAAGACAAATTTTAACTAATTCTCGAAATACTTTTCTTTTACTAGACCTCATTATCTGTGCATTGTTTCTAATTCCCTCTGTCTTCTAAATTAAAACGTCCTTATATCTACATCTCAACAAATTTAGTATGCGTGAATTTCTTTTTTTTCCTAAGTGAAATAAATCACAAGCAGAACTTGAGAAACTTATTTTCCATTCTCCCAACCAGTTCTTCCTATGTTCTCTTTCAATTAATACGAAGAAACCATACTACTTGTTTCCCAAGCTAGAAACCAAGACATCATCCTCAGGTCTTCTCCTATCTCCCTAATCCAACAGTTCTGTCAGTTTTACCTCAGACTTCTCACAGAGCAAGCTGTCTTCATTGCCAGCTGTATTATTTCGGGTCTTTATCATCTTTTTCCCCTGGATTATTTGCCTCTTCACTGGTCTCCCTCATGAGCTTCTCCCTTCATCCTGCTTTACAAGCTCCTGGGCCGACAGGGGCTGAAATACAAAGAGAGGGACTCACCCTCTGTTTTGGTCTAAAGTTATCTAGGCCTAACTATCTTAGGCTAGAGGAGTGCTCAGCAATGGACCAAGGTACCAAACCCAGGTACCTTTCCTAGGCACCTTATGTGGGTTGGTGATCAGTCCTGAGGAGTCTTGGGGTTTTGGTACCCTGGCCAAATACCCTTTTAATGCAATGTAGGATCAAGTCAATAGTGATCCAACTGCTAAGCAACAGAGAGGTGAAATCCGATATGAGTGGACTCTACTCTAGGAATTAGGAAACC